GGTTTCCGCGCGCCGACATGCACGCATCAGCAACCATTCAGCACTCCTTCGCTCCATTCGTGATTGGTAGCCCTATCCTCGTTCTGCGGCCAAGCTCGCTGTACGCACCCGCCCCAACCATGCGCTTTTGACTGACCATCCTGCGGATTGCGTCGCTGCATGAAGGAGCCATCAGCCCTGCCCTGCGTGCAAGATGGCTGAGATGAGCCCCTTGGCCATCGGCCACTCGGCCATGTTGTAGCCGCCTCCGACCCAACCACAACAAACTGTGACTGGCGCTGTGAATGCTCATCAATCTTGAGAGTATGAAATCGTAAAGAATCATGATCCTCGTGCTGCCTGGTCTGCTGCACATGCGTGGTGCACGGAAGTCGGATTCACGACGCGCGATTGCATGACACCGTGAGGGAAGAAGCCACGCGGTCTGCCGGGAGCTAGGGAGGATATGATCCTAGCACAGTCACTATATTTCCAGGTCTGGCTCAAATTATCCCCGTGCTCTCGCCGCCTACGTCACTGACCCAAGGCCGGGGACATTGAGTGATTCAAATGTGTGTGCTCATGCCCGATTGGGAAAGAAAGAGAAAGCTTCCGCTCGACGCGATGACCGTCTGTGAACTGGGTGCGCACAAAGTCGGGATGGCGATGTGCTCGCCGAGACCTTTGACCACGGCAACGCAACGCTCAGCCCAGCAGGAACGTGAGAGATCCGTGCGGTGGCTGCGCTAGTTTCAGCTATAGAGGACAGACGCGCGGCCTACAGCTGTTTGGTCTCAGGAATCACGAATGATCGACATCGCGTCATGCTTTCCATCCATGCAGTCACAAATCCAGCCGAGCGTTATATGCGGCCTTCGCGTCTGCGATCGAGCACACGAGGTCCAGTCTTGAGTGATTTCACGCGCGCATGCGCACGGCGTCTTTATCGCAAGGCAAATAACGCTCGATCGGCCTCTGAGCTTGATATGCATGCATGCATGCATGCATGCATGATGCCACTCTCAGTCACGCCTCTATAGCTGCTGGTGCTGGTTGTGTATTTGTTGGGGCGGATGCATGATGCACGCACAGACTTTGCCACCCCGATTGCGTTGGGCGCGCTCACCGGCTCATGCAATTGCAGCCAGCATGTCGAGGGCAGAATACTCTCGAATCTCTTCTGCATCTCGCCCTAGCTCGTCTTCAACATCCACCAAGCAACACTTGCTGCAGCTGCAGCCAAGTTGCGAGTGCGACACTCAACAGCCTCTTCTTGAGGCTAGCTGCCGTTGAGCGCATGCATCCATCCACCACTCTGACTGCCTGTCCATCTCGTTACCTCTACTTCCATCTTCATCTTGCCATCGCACTTGCCGCATTCGACCAACCTCCTCTGCCTCCACAATCCTGTACTGATGAACAAGGATGACCTCGCAATGGGACAGTCCCTCGTGCGCGTGCTGCGTTCGAAAGTGCACGCAGCACACCCCAGACGTTGGCAGTGCCTGGTGCCAAAGTGGTGTAACGGTTGGGATCACAAGGACCTAGCAGTGTGCCCGTGAAGAGTGCGACATCAGATCACTGCACTGTTCTCCGTGTCCGTCACTGACTGTAGCTCGCAATGATCGTTGGCCCGATCGTGGACAAGAGCAAGGCAGAGCTGCATGTACCGTTGATGTTACTCGAGGGACGGCACGACCGTTTGCTTGCTCAGCCTTGAAGGCCTGGCGCGCCCACATACGCCACGCCAACTCCTCTTTGCTCTCCTTGCGAAACGTTGGATCATTCGCACCATCATTGTGATCTTCTTTTGCCAGCATCCATCCTTCCTTTCGACCCCCTCTTCACCCTCTTCCCTTCTAGTCAGGCCAGGAGCCACCTTTAACTTTCTATCTTGCCGCCCTCCCCTCCTTTCACTTAACCATCTCCAGACTTTGGAGGAGCGGCGGGCTGCGCCTCCTCAGCCTGCCCCATCATCCCCAGCACCACGTCAGGGACGTTCGCATGGAGAAGCTGGCTCGCTATATTTTTTATCACATTTGATCATGAACAAGAACGCAGTGGCGGGTCCGAGCAGAAGTGCAGTTCAACATGGTACATTGGTCACCAACAACCGCACGTCGGGCGCAGGTGCCTCTACAGTCAGTGTGCTCGCTGAAAAGGCGCGCTTGCGACCTCCTCGCAAGTTTAGGCCTCGGGTCGATGACAGCCGAGCGGGTGGCTCTGAGCGGTATGCTCGCGTAGGGCAATCTCATGCGGCAGCCAGAATCGCGCGGATCATGCTCACAGTCACTCAGTCGGTGTCGGCAACGAGCACGCTCTCCCACGCTGGTCATGTATCGAGCGCATCCCTCAAAGGAAAGGCGCGAGCCATGGACCCGGCCCCCACGGCACAAAGGCTTTTGCGCAGACAAGATTCACCGATCAGCTTGGATGGGCTGGACAAGGATAAGGGGGACAGAAGCGCAACGCCGCCAACACAATCATCAGAAGGCGCTGACTCTTCTAACGTGGGTCTGCTCAGTGCTGGCGCTTCTTCGGTGCCTCTAATCAGCGATGGGACTACTGCGCTGTCTCTGACTGCGAGCCAAGCATCAAGCTCCTCGTTCCTTTTGCCGCCGATGTCATCATCATCCTCCCCGAGCATCACCGCAGCAACCACAGCTGCAGTACAAAGTCTTGCACCGGCGTCACTGATCCAGAATGCTGCAGCTTCTACGGCCAGTAACGATGCAGAGGGAGCAGCCCCGCACGTGTCTATAAAGCACAACTTGCCTTTGCAATTGCTCATCACGGTGGGCGCTCTCGTAGTCTTTGCAAGCTTGCTGGCAAGCTCTGCTTGGCTCTGCAGGACGCGCTTGCCTTGCACGCGCAAGAGGAGGAAGCGCCGTGACAAGACGACGTGGAGTCCAGCCGCTGGCAGCACCGAAAGCTTTGACGTCAAGTCTGTCGATGCTCGGCAATGGGCCGCCAAGTATGCCCAGACGCCCATGCTTTTGAAGGATGACGTTCAACGGTTTGCTGCCGCGCCTGCAGTGCCTACCGATGCGGAGCTACAGAGGCCTGCGCCTTGTGCGATGATCGCCACCAGCAACCAGCCTTGCGACCAGCAGTTCGGCCAACGAGGGTACCAATTGTGGGATGCACCAATGCCGAGCGCTCCCCGACAAAGCCCTAGTGATGTTCCGACCACTTGGCAGGGCATGGTCGACGGCGGCGGCGGCAACTATGCAGCTGGTGCCGCCATGACTTGGACACCCAACGCGTCGGATCGTGCAAATGCAGAAGACCGATTTGGCGAATTGCACAGTCTTCCTCCTGCTCGTCGACCCAGCTTCATCGAGCGTCTGCTCGTTGCCAGGCCCAACTCAGCTGGCTTGCCGGACGTCTTGCGAGGCGACGAAGAGCAAAGGATCAGTAACCCTCATCAGTCCACTACCGATGATCTTTTGCCTTCGGCGACGCAGCTGCACGAGACTTTTATAGATCCACCGGATAAAAGTCAGAGGCAGGTCCAGCAGCCTCCCGCGACTCGCTCTGCTACGCTCCTCTCCACCGTCCTATCGACGCTCGGTGTTCACCAGAATGCGAACTTCAAACGACCACAGAAGCACGCACGAGACCTCGACTCTGACTTTGAGGGCACTATTGGAGCCAAGGACGTCGAGCTGCCGATGGCTCGACGCGTCGGCAAACGAGAGTCTCGTTTTCCATGCGACATCAGCTCCGACGAAGATTCTGCTGCCACTCTGGCAATAATTTCTCGGGCGCGCAAGACGTTGGATGCATCCGGAGAGCCGTATTCTAGCACGCCAAGGACACCGGGTCTTGCGGGCCTAGGATCCGCATGGGCCAGGGTAGCACCGCTCGCAGCAGCAACAAAGCGACCATCCCCCCTAGGACCCCTGTGCGTGATTCCGCCTGCCATCAGCGCGCCCAGTGTTCCTGCGCCCGCGGCTCGAGCTGGAGCAGCGCTAGGCGGAAGGACCATCACCTTGTCAGAGCTGAAGCTGTTGCAATCGCAGAAAGATCTCGGCCACGTGCTCAGTCCGGCGAGCAACAACCGACACAAGCTCGAGTCGACTGTGGCTAGATGGCTCACGGTCAGCCGATATGCTGATCTAGTACAGCAGACTCCACTGGCGACCCAAGGTGCGCTGCCACGTATGCCTCGCAGACGAGACAGTGCTCATAGCCTCACGCAGTCCGAAGGTTCTTCAATGACGCTGGCTTCTTCTGACCAAGGTCTGTCTCGCATGCCGAGCATTGTGCCGCGCTTTGGCGCCACGACGACGCTCGAAAGCTGGCTGGAAAAGGATCCTATCAAAGGCGATAGCTCCGATGCTGGAGTCAACGAGCTCGTCAACATTCTCGGCATGTACTCCATGGGAGACGGTGCGTCCACAGCTGGCTCCGAATCGCTCTCGTTGGCAGACGTGCCCCCAAAGCGGCCTCTCGAAGCATCTGCGGGCGGTGCGACACCGATGATCTCGCTGCCAACAGGCGATAGCATCCTGCCTCCTTCGTACCGCAGCTTTGGCACAGCCGAACGGCTGCAAAGAGAGGAGACGAAGAGCTCAAACGGTTCTTCGAGAAGTCGGACCCAGACATGGAGTCAAAGCAACGAGGCGCTCGAAGAAGAGAAGCGTCAAGTAGACCGTCGTCAAAAGCTGCACCGCAAGGAACAGCGCAGGAGCGCACGGATGCAAGCTAGACACTTGGCCCTGTCTCAAGAGGCCGAAGCGCAGCAGGCCACTCAAGCGGCAAGTGTCGAAGAAGCTCAAGATCGCCGACACACGATCCTCGATTTTGCGATGCTGACAGCGGGTCAAAGTCCCAGAGTAGGCGTGACACGCTCACGCAGTCTTGCAAGCTCAGTCTACTCTAACAACACTGCTCCTTCGGAGTATTGCAATGCGCCCATCCTTTCCAATCCTGCGACGGTCAATCGCCTGTCGGTCATTCAGGAGCATAAGAGCCCATCATCTCAAGAGTCGCAAGCTGAGCAGGCAGTGGCAGCACCTTCTCCGCAAAGTGCCATAGAGGCGAAGGCTACGCTTCACGTGCCTGTTCAGAAGCGTAGAGTTTCCTCGGCACGACTCATGGCGCCCCTCTCACCGCCCGACTCCCCCTGGACTTCGCCCGATTCTCGCACTGGGCCGAACAATGGAAGGTGGCAAGGAGGACCTCAAAGACCTCGCGATTCATTCATCGTGCCCAAGCGGTCTGCAGCTACCTCCGCAAATGCGGCTCTGCCTAGCGATAGACGCGAGCTGCTGGAAAAGAAGCGCCAGGCTTCGAAGTCTCAGCGCGATGTGATCCCGCCCACGGGTCACCTTGTCGATGTCGCACCAGGTACCGGCGGCCATCACAAAGACGCAAGACGCGTCGTCTCTGCCCTTCCGACCAAACAGGCCATGCGCAGTCAGGGCGCGCGCAGAGATCGAGTGGTCAGCGAAAAGGCAATCTTGGCGTAGTATTCGAAGTCGCCATATTGTATTTGCAGTCCGAACAGCTTTCCCGTGCTCTAACCGTTCAGGAGTAATCACAATCACCTCCCTTTTTTTGTTGCCTTCTCGTCATCGACATGTCGTTTAGTTTGGCTTCTGATGTGTGTGCGTACAGACACGAGTATCGCTTGCCAAGCCGCTGCGATGTCACAAGTTCGGACCTTGTGGCGCAGCGGAAACACGAAAGTCACGCGTTGTATCGCTTTCGGCAATGTGAATGTGAATGTGAATGTAAATCGGCCGTCCGCGTGCGCGTGCGCGAGCAAAGAGTGTCGAGGTCCTCACATGATCTGAGGGGCCACTTTGAGTAGTATGGGCTGATCCGTGTACGATCGACCGTGCAGAGCGCCTTGTACTCTTGGCAACAAAGGGAAGAGGAGTAGAAAGACGTCAAGAGTGGGGTCGGATTAGGTACGAGCAAGGGGGGAGGAGCTACACGCGTACTCTCACAAGTCTTCTGGCTCTACCATGTACGGTACAGTATCTCCACACAGCTCCGTGCCGAGCCCGATGAGGGACAGGTTCTTGGCGGTTCCTTGCAGCTCATTAGCGCGCGCGGCGCTGAAGGCAGCTAGCTGCTGATGGCTCAATCAAGCAGACGCGCTGGATAGCGAGCGGCGCCGGCGAAGCTTATACGAGTTGCTTGCATGGCGCCAACGAGCCTCCGCATCCCTTTGCTGCTTTGGAGTCGTGAGTGCTTGGGTGATGGTCAGCGGGCGAAGACGCGTGTCGCGCCGAGGTCCCCTGCTGACGCCTGGACGGCGTAGGTGTTGCCAAAGCAGCGGCATTCGTGACTGCTTTGGAGCCAGCCTTGTTCCTGCTGGAAGCGATTTGAAAGTCTAGTTTGAACAATCGTGGCTGGTCGAGTAAAAGTCGCGAATCACAATCGTGAACTAGAATATATTGAATCGAAGCAACGAACCCTGCATGGACGGCCGGCCATGCGGAGTCCCGACGACTTATGAAACTCCGCTCGTAATCGCGCGGTGGGCCGTGCAGTCTCGTGTGGCGGGCGGGCCGTGTGTCTGTCTGCCTTTGACCTAGCTCTTTCTTGATTTTGTTCGAAGGGACCAGCAGCAGCAGCGGCGTCGACTCACGTCAAATTTTGAATCGGTTGCATATCATAACGTTGCTTCCGGTCTTGCGCGACTGCCGAGCAATCGAGGCCTCTTAGTGTCGCTTCTCTGTGCTGTAGGTGTGCCACGGAGCTGTCATGCACGCGCACGAGGTCCCTCTATCTCCATCTGCTTTCATGCCGTCATCCACCATCTCGACACAATAACCTGCCAGCAAAGCAATCTGCTGCGCCTTGCTTGGCACTGATTGAATTAGTCGCACATAGAAACCGTCACCGAGGTGCGATCGCATACGTGCGGGGTGTCCCGCGTTGAATTAGATCTACCTCACATTTGAGTAGGTAAAGCGTCTGCTCGATGTAGAGCGCGGGAAATTGCACATAAACATATTCGTGACTTACGATATGCCGATACTTATACTCGCGAAGTCACGATACTCGCTCTTATAGCTGTGACTGTATATATATGTGTTCACACCAGGCAACTGGCTGGCCCTACCCGCTCACCCCTCCAGTCTTGCTCTCCCCCTCCCCTCCTTCGGACTGTCGCCACCCCTTCGTGCGACTCCTCCAGACTCTTGACCACAGTATTTGAGACGCCTGAGCGTCTTCTCAGACTGGAACAGCTGAGCGACAACAAAGGCGCCCTCCACCTATACTGTGACTGTCCTGCAGGCCGACGCCCCGCTGCAGAACCACACGAAAATAGAAAGGGTCTTGCGCACCTAGGCCACCTGCATATTCCACTCCGCCGCACAAGTTTCTGTGCACTGCTCTTGGAGAAGCACAAAGGGCAGTGTCGCAAGTGAACAAGACGCAACGTACAATACTTGCTTCCCTCGACCATCCTCGTGGAAAGCCAAGAGCGCTTGGACAAACCAGCGACTAATATGTCAGCACACGAATACTCGTCCGTCCCTGGCGGGCAGGCAGCTGCTACAAGTCAAGAAGAAGCTGCTGCAGGGCCATCCACATCCACTCCAGGAGCGAATGGCGGCGGATCTGGAGACCTGGGTCTGGGCGGCAGTACGGAAGCGGCGGTGGAGGGTCAGTCGTACGAAATTTCTTCCACACTCTCCAATGCTTTCTCTTCCGCATCCATGTATGCACCCTTGGAGGGCGGTCAGAGGGGCTCTGGCTCTGGTGCTAGTGCCTTTGGACTGCCTTCCCCTCAAAGGATAGCCATGAGCAGGCCACTGAGTTACGCCAGCTCTCACATGCTCGGTGGAGGCTCAGACTACGACTCGACGTATCGACTGAATGACCATGGAACATCGGGCAGGGACAGTTCATATGGAGATGCGTTGGCTATGGGCGGATATGAAAAGGGCTCTTGGACTCCGGATGCCGAGAATGCCACTTCGGCGGCGTATGCTGATGCCGCAACAAAGAGACCTGGGCTTGATCGATATGGCAGGGCAGGGACAGTGTCTCACAAGAAGAGATGGCTGATGCTTGCTGGGGTAGCTGCAGTGCTGGCTTTGCTCGTCGTTGCAATCGTGGTGCCCATCACGCAAATCCTTCTGAAGGACGACAAGGGCTCTGGAAGCCAGTCTGATGAGACGGGCTTTACTCAAACCGATAGCTCAGGTCACGGAGCCGGGGGCAAAGTGCTCACTTCGGGCACGAACGGATCAGTCATTGACCTGGGAAATGGGCAAAGCTTCACGTACATCAATAGTGAGTATCGCTGCAACCCATGTACGCACTGGTCTGCGCTCATCCTTCTCCGGCTCGCCTGTGCAGATTTTGGCGGCAGCTGGCGCTCCGGCATCTTAGATGACGGCGCACAAGCGCAAAGCTACACAAAGCCCCTCAATCAGCAATGGGATTGGGCAGCAGATCAACAGCTAGGTGTGAACCTCGGTGGTTGGTTGGTGATCGAACCATTCATCGTGCCTGGCCTTTTTGAGCCATATGAGAATACCTCCACGCCCGTGGTGGATGAGTGGGGACTAGCTCAGCGATGGCAGAGCGAAGGCAGGCTGGAGCAGAATTACAGGCAGCACTATGATACCTTTGTCACTGAAAGGGATTTTGCCGACATTGCAGCGGCAGGACTGAACTGGTGAGTCTTCCGAGCACACTTGCGCACACGCCACCCACCCGCTGACACTTGGCCCACTCTCTGGCATAGGGTGCGCTTGCCCATCGGATATTGGGCGCTGGATGTTGAGGACGACGAGCCTTTCTTGGCACACGTGTCATGGGAGTACTTCCTCAAGGCGATTCAGTGGGCCCGAAAGTACGGCTTGCGCATCAATCTTGATCTGCACTCGGCGCCTGGACAACAGAATGAGTACAATCATAGTGGTCGCTTAGGTCGGCCGATGTTCTTGAACAGCCCGCAAGGAATCGTCTATGGTCAGCGAGGCCTGAATGTGCTGCGCCAGATGATCCAATTCATCAGCCAGGACGAAGTGAAGAACGTCATTCCAATGCTCAGCGTGCTCAATGAGCCTAACCTCAATACTGGAATAGGAAGGGATGGACTCAATTCTTGGCATCAGGAAGTTTACTCCATGATGCGCAACATCACTGGTACCGGCGCTGGACGTGGTCCCTTCATGGTCATTTCCGACGGGTTCCTCGGCATTGGCCAATCAGTCGGCTACATGTCTGGAGCTGATCGGATTGGTATCGATGTGCACAAGTACATCGCCTTCACCCCTCCCTTTAGCACCAACAGCGCGAGCGGCGCCCTGGCAGTCACTGCTTGCAATGGATACCGAGGAGACGTGGAGCAGGGTCTGACTCAGTTTGGTCTGACAGTGGTGGGCGAATGGTCGCTGGCATTGAATGGTGAGTCTCTGATACGGTCGATCTTTGAGAGCGCCTAGACTTACGTAAACGTCCACTTCCTTCCTTCACAGACTGCGGTCTATTCTTGAACGGTGTCACTGACGGGGTGCGCTACGACGGAAGCTACAATGCTCGCGGACAGACGGCTACCAAACAGGGAGACTGCCCATACTGGGATGATTGGGAAAACTTTTCCGCGGAGCAAAAGACGAGCTTGAAGCAGACTGCGCTTGCCCAAATGGACGGCTACCACAACTTTTACTTTTGGACCTGGAAGATTGGAAACAGTCTGAGGACTGGCAAGCCGGTGAATCCAAATTGGTCGTATCAGCTGGGTTTGCAGAACGGCTGGATGCCAACGGACCCCCGAAGAGAGGCCCAAAATTACTGCCGGTCTTTGCAATCGACTTTCCCCTCCATTACCGGCACGGCATTCACCAGCTGGTCTTCGACTTTCTCCAATTGGATGACTGGCGCCGCGAGCACTTTTAGTCCTCCTACTGCCTCGTACGCTTGGCCACCACAGAGCATAGCATCGAGCGGGACGACACCTGTACTAGCAGTGTCGACGCTAGCCCAACTTACCCCTACAGGCAGCATTCAGACCCCGCCTACGCCGACGTTTTCGGCTACTTTCAAAGGAGAAGCAGTGCCCACCCTTGGCGCCATTGCCAACCCTTCGTACAGCCCAGGTTTCTACGTACAAGCTTCTGGCGGGAACGCCCGCAGAAATTTGCTCGGAGCAGAGCCTGTGAGACGAGCTGCTGCTGCACCTGTACCCACTCCAGCTCCTCTCTTGCCTCGCGCCTCCAGCGCGCGGTCTCATCCGCGGGACGTGAAACCTTGATCCGCAGCTGCAATCGGCCCTCACGATGTCACACTTTGTTTCTTTCAACCTCTTGGACAGTTCTATCCCTCTCTTTCCATTTCGCGAGCATGGTAGCGATTCTTTCTCGCCCGCCGCGAGCCACTCCCTTCATTGTAGAACTCTGGACAATTGCTGGATACTGACGTGACTCTACTCGATCAAACGCCTGTGCGCGTGCAACGCATCGACGTAATCTCCATGCAGACAGATCGGCGATCGCAAAGTGCAATACGCGCTGGGCCGTTTTCTCCGACTGATCAGGACGTCGGCTTTTGATGAGATGATCAAGATTGAAGGACGATCGCTCCGTATAGTTGCGAGCTGTACGCTTGCCCGAGGTTTAGTTCCTTACGACCCGAATCGAACACTCACCAGTCTACGCGGCCACGCGTCGCGTCCTCATGTCCGTGACTTCACGAAGCGTTGCTTTACCTCTGAAGATGCAGGTCAAAGGGGTGCAGGTCGCTTCGCTCGCTGCACGGGACGGTGCGAGCGTAGCAAGCAAAACTACAGGAGCTGCACAAAACATGGATCTTGTGCAGCAAGCGTAACAGCTCCGGTGGATTTGCAGTCTGCTTGCTACCGTTTGCTGCACACGGCAGCACAGAGAAGATCATGGTACAGCAAGGGAAGAGAGAAAAGTAGGGTACAGCGCGTCTTTGGGGCTGCGCGCCACACGCAGGCGCACCGCAACAAGCACCTTCCCTTCATGTGCCTGGCTGCGCGCTTAAACATGTGAGAAGGCCTCTCCCAGGCTTGCATGTCAAAGTATATAGATTTGTAAATTTCATGGGACAGCATCTACGGCCATACCACGGGCACCGTACTGGATCCCGTTCGATCTCCAAAGTCAAGTGCAGCGAGCGAAGCGAGCTGCACGAGACAGTGTGTACATTAGAGTATATCTATGTGTAAAAGCATTGACCAGACATCTACGGCCACACAACAGGAAAAGTGCCTGGTCTCGTTCGATCCCAGAAGCGGAAACCCTGTATGGTCTAGTCAGTATTGCGGTGGGGGACCACGCGAGAATCCTAGATGCCGTAGGTTTTTGGTCTCTGCCAACGCTTTTTGCTTACCCCTGTTGTGCTGTTGTGGAGAATGGAGTCGAATCTCGAAAGGATGATGTATCAAGTAGCGCATTTCTGCTCGTTCGCGAGCTCATCATCACTCGTGGCTTTGCCATCAGTACATAAGACCTTTGCCAAACGCTGGGATGCGCTAGATTGACATGTAGACGAAGCAGAGGCAAAACTGCAGGCTTCGACAAGCCAAATCAAGCGCTCCGCAGCGGCACAAGGACAACGTGTTGATATCGCATAATTCAAGGCCGATCGTCAGGTTCGTAAAAAAAAGATGAATGTCGCATTGACCGGGGGGTCCGCGCGGGTCAACAGCATTAGCGCCGTTGCTGCAGCCAGTCGTCGTCTGCATCAGCCAAGCATCAGCTGCCGCCAGTTCTGCCCGAGCCGTGATCGTTTTCGGCAATCCTGAGCGCAATGACGGTGAGGATGACGGTGGTGGGAGCGCTAAGGATGACGTACGCCACAAAGATGGTCTTGCTGATAAGCCTTTCGAAACCTCCATTCTTTGAGCTCTGGGTGATTTGTGCCAGTGTGAGAGCTGGTGGACTTCCAATGAGCAACAGGGCACAAACAATGAGCACCGGATCATCCGCCACATTTTCCCTCGTGGCGATGCAGTAGTAGGCAAAGATGGGGATGACCACTAGCGGAGTGATGACCATCCTAGCCAAGAGCGATACGGCAATGGTGCGCCTCTCCTGAGACGCTTCTCGACGCTCTGCCGCTTCGCGCGCGCCTATTCGAGAAGCGCCGCCGCTCTGTTGACGCAGCGCTGACCCAGCAGGTCCAGCTGCGTTGCTTCTTGCGTTCGAAGCGGCTTCGGAGCCCGGACGAATAGCCTCTCCGACCGAGGCCGTGCTCGCTTCGCTAGCCGCGCTGCTCCAGCCGACAGAGTCTCTCCGGACTCCAGCCTCCACGTCCTGACCCTCCTCCAGCAACTGTGACTGCGAGCCCCAAGGGTTCCGCATCCACGGCAATTTTCTGGTCGAAGATGCGCCCTTTTTCTGGTCGGCTTGGGTACCATCGCCAGCAGGGTCATTTTCCGGATTTGGATGACCAACAAGCGTCGAAGCTTGGCTCAGACCTTCGCCCGACTGAGCGGCATCCGGAGCGGATCTGGAAGAAGTCTGAGCAGCTGGCGCTTCCGCCTTCTTCTCGGGCTCAGGTGGCACAAAGTAGGCTCCCAAGACGACCATGGTCAGTGGAACGCTGACAGAGCCAGCGGTTTGCAGAGCTCCAACCAGCGGTTCGATGCTGCCAATCGCAACTTGCAAGGGACGGACCATGGCCACGATGAGACTGATGACGGCGGCCCAGAGCGGCATCGTCATGAAACCCATGAAAGCTCGATAGGGCTTGAGCACGTAGCGATGCGCAAAGGATTTGCGTTTGTGCGCGGAACGGCTGCTGGCAGTCCTCGCCCACGCTGGACGACGCGTGGCATCAGAGTGCTGAGAGGCTTCCTCTCCATCGCTCTCGTCATCAGACCCACGCTCGGAGGAAGGCGCAGTGGGCGTGTTTGGGAAGCTGCGCGTCCAGTGCACAGGGCGCGATCGGGAAGGTCGCCGCTCGGTCAACGCCGGACCGCCAAGATCCTCATCGCCTTCTGCATCGGCTCGGATGTCGCCGGTAGCTCTGCGGATCTTGATGGACGGAGGTCGCCTTGGCTCGACGGCACTGTCATCCACATCGACCAGCGTTGCCGTTCTGGCAGATGAAGTAGGCTCGGGATAGTCGGCGTATTGCGCTCCATTTGGTCCGGCCATCGCGTCTTTCGTGGGCTCTTCATCCACAGTTGCAAGCAGCTTGGCACCAATGCTCCACCTGGTGAGCATGCCCAGAGTCGAGAACAGCACGAGATACGTGAGAGCTCTGCCGAGCATACCGTCTACAGTATCTTCTGGTTCCCCCTCTTCCTCCCAGTGCAGCTGTGGCACAGTCATCACAAGACTTTGCATCAAGGCTACCGGAAGACTGTTGGAGTTGGGACTCATCGCGCAAGCGATGGCAAAGTTCCTCTGTGCGCGCGTAATGCGGGCTATCCTGGCCAAGACGTACGCCACAATAGCGCTAAAGGCGCTCACGACGACAAAGCCTATGGGCACGATTGCCAGCTCGGCAAGTCGTCCAGGGTTGAGCGTGAATGCCACCTTGCTAAAAAGCAGAGCGGGCGTAAAGAAAGACACGTTGATCTTGTTCAATTTCGTCTGCGTCGTCTTGTCGATGACCCCTCTTCGAGCCAAGAAGTATCCTACGACGCTGAGAAGCGCCACTTCGATGATGCTAGAGGCTGTGACCTTGATGAGCGGCCACAAGGCACCGCCTGAGCCTCCAGAACCATCGCCGTCATGCCGGCTCGCGACGTCAACGAAAGGCACCTGGTCGATTTGAAATGCGGACAAGGGCAATTGCGTGAAGCTGCTGGGAGCGAGGACGGTTGATGCTTTGGCGGCCTGCGCTTCAGGCAGAAGAACCGTATTGAGCACAGCGGCAAGCCGCGTTCCTGCCATTGCAAATTGGCGCTGCAGCACGAGGTCTCTGCGTGCGAAGGAGGTGCAGTCAGCAACAAGGAGCGGAGGCGGCGCAGAGACGAATAGGGCGATGCTCACCTGTCCACCTTGCCAGCATAGTCATCACCATCGAGCTCTGGGCGCTCCTCGCTGCCTGGGATAGGCACTGGGCTGGCGAAGCCATACTTGCAAACCAGAGGATGAAGAGGTTTGGTCCAAGAATATGGGCACAAGGGCTGGCTAGAGTCGTCAGGGTCGTCTTTGGGGGCCAAGGACTGCGAAGCCCTTGCTTGCGCAGCTATGCTGGCGGGCAGGGGCAACAGTCCGGCCACATTCTTGAATGCTTTCGTGGTGTGAGGTAGGAGGGTGTCCGGGGAGAGCCATGTATGCGCCGCACCTTGACCCGGTATGTGCTCTGCTCTACTCGATCGACTTGCAGAAGTGGGGCACTTAGACCATTCTTCCGCGTCTTCCCACCAGGCCTGCTTGCCTCCCTCGAGCGTCTGTCCGAGACCTTCCTGCAAGATCCAGCGTATGTACGCGTCGTACGGTCTGTGTTGGAGGGCTGACTCGATGCGCGCGGATCGGAGGGGCGAGGTATGATTGGACAGGGCACGAATCTGACGATTGAGCATCAAGCTGTCCCACACCGTATGGAGCTTGGCAGCTCGACCTTCAAAGTGCACCCAAATGTCGTTACCTCCTCGAGCTCTTCCCGTCAAATGAAGCGGTTGGTGCATGTCGCCCAAGAGATGAACCACCATCCGCAGAGCCATATCCCTCTCCCACTTCCTTTCCTCTTCCGTCAGACCCGCATGATCTGCAGTGCCCGGAACCAATTCGTTTAGCCTTCGTGTGTAGTTTGTAGCTGCTGTCAAAACATTGTCGCTGCTCGTCCATCCTCCATCCTCGCCATAGGTGCAATGCGTTGGAGGTGCGTCGTTGAGCGGGTTGACATAATGCAACTTGGAAGCCCAGGGGTATCTGTTGCGCACCGTGTCTGCCCAAGAAGACACAGCTCCCAGGTGACAGCTGCGCGCGGTGCCAAGCAGAAGGGGGGCCCATTGAGTCGCTTGCATCGCTCTCCGTCCCTGCAGAGTGTACTCACTGTTTGTGCGGTGCACCCTCTCGTGGCCACTCGCTTCGATACGCTGACCATTCTGGCAGGATTTCGCAGAGGTAAGATCTGACGTCTGGATGGAGCATGCTCTGCGCTATCGTAGCTACGATGGAATGTCCAACCGCGCCCCACGCCTCGACGGAAGTCGATAGCAGGGACACGGTGGCTAGGGCAGCCAGGAGGCTGAAGACTCGCATATCGATGATCGCTCGGGCCGTACTGGGAGAGACTGGGCAATGAGCGGCGTTGGACGAAATCTATGAGCCTGAATGAAAGGTTGATGCGATGATGTGCGACCTTTTGCGTCCGAAGGGTGTTGTGGAGGTCAAGCGCGCGCGCGTCTAACCAAGCCGAGCTCGAATCACGCGACACGTCAATAGAGCACGAGGGTCAAGCCAACGAAGGGGGTGAAGGAGAGATTAGGCAACAGTCACGAGTGTCGTGAGGCGGAGACCAGGTATCGTCAGAAGCGAGAAGCAGAAGAGGCTTGCTGCAACATTCACGATCCGTGATTCACTCACTCGTTGTAATTTGGCAAATAAGGCGCGAGGGCAGATAACAAAAAGCATCGGCAGCAGCAGCTACTGTATATACAGCAGCGTTTACCTTGCTGCTGGGAAGGTGCATGCCGCTCTCACCGTGACTGCATGCAGCCAAAGCGTGAAGAGTGGCGGCACAGCAGAAGCCCGCGCTGGAGCATGATCCTATGCATCCGTGCGCTCCATCACATATATCGCCGCCATTGGGCTGCTGCTGCTGCTGCTGCTGCTGCTGCTAAGCCGCCGCTTCCGTATAGCCGCTTCAAATTCAAAAGATTAAACATTGATAGGTCTTGGCATCATCTCGCGGGCCTCACACGCTCGGAGCTGCTGAGCTGAGCTGAGCTGAGCCGACCCTGAATCGGCGCGGCATGACAAGCGTCAGCCCGGCAGCGCAGGACCTCTTACAGAAGGTCCACATCGCTCGTCCGCCATGTTCCCTTGACAGCTGTATAGGCATAGGATAGGCATAGAGCTGGATGCAGCAGTAGAATTGTGGTTGGGTGCCGAGACTTGAGCCTGTTCGCGATTTGAGATAGCTTCAAGTGGCTGGCTGAGCATCCACGAGACACGACACGATCCGCCGAGTCGTCAGTGGCTGCATATGACGCGGCCCGCTCGCTTCCCTCAGCATCAGCAAAATCACGAGATGATGTCTCGAGACGGAGGGGAGGGATCAGCGAGGGTGCAGCAAGCCATTCATGTGATTCGCACGGGTGCAAGCAGCAAGCATCGACCATCTCACCAGCTGTGCAGCAGCTAGCACTACTCTACGTGTACGATGTGTTCCGCTTGCATGGGCAGCAATCGACGTCCGTGTGTATAGATAGGGACGGGCGATGCTGATGAGGTGCGCGGTCATCGCGAAATGACGACTTTCGATGCGCGCGCCGAGTTGCTCGATCTGGATCGTGCGTACGGTATGTGTCGCTTAGCGCTCGTTGTACTCTCACTACTGCTGCTGGTGACTCAGGACTGGGTGCACCGCGGTGGCTGCAGTTCAGAGAAAGTCGCGCGCGCACAAGTAATCGAGCATGACATTCACAATCACCAATCACGAATCCGCACACCAAAGACGCCAGCCATCACTCCCAATCAACATCTCATCAGGCTCATATCTTTGACTCTCACTCACACGCAAGACTTGACTCATCACTGTCTCTCTCACCGATCTGTCTGGTCTCGTCTGGTCTCGCTTCGTCTCGCCGCGTCTCACGTGTATGCGCGTAGACTCTCGCTACTTTTGACTCTAGCTGCCTCCTTTCAGCAGCCACACGCATCGGTGCCTTGCCCATAAGTCCGTCCTTGTCGCGCATCCAACTACGGCATTTGCGGGGACAATCGGCACGCCTCTGGCCATTTGGTCTGCTTTAAAGGCATAGGCTTGAATATCGTACCTTTTCGGCTGTCTTTCACGCCCGGGCAGCTCCGCTCTTACCCGCTCCTGATCGATATCGCACAAGCGTTCCAACCAACAGCTCCGACGCTCGCTCGCGTCTATCGTGTCGAGCAAGAACAGGACATTGTCCAGGACTCTTTATGCCTGCAGCGTAACCACGCTTCTGAACCTTTCATCACGACGTCCATTGCCCTTGTGCATCCTCCTGCTCCTGCTCGTGCAAGATGCAAGCAGTGTCCAAGCTAATCTTTGGTCCGACACAAGAAGAGCGAGTCAAGTCGGTCCAAGCCCAGTTGCGTTCCGAACAAAGAGCGTTGGATCGAGAAGTGCGACAGATAGATGCGGCTTCCTCCAAAGCCAAGATGGAGGTGAAAAAGTTGGCAAAAAAGGGAGATACGAAGAATGCTAGGATATTGGCTAGAGAGATTGTTAGGAGTCGGAAACAAAAGGATAGATTGATCACGAGTAAAGCTCAATTGAATAGCATTAACATGCAATTGGGACATCAGTTGGGTGAGTCGCGCCCCTAGCTTGCATGCCTTTGAGCGCAGTGTGGATGGCAGTGTCGCACTCGGACCGATGCTCATTCGTCTCATCTCGACCCACACAGCCATGTACAAAGTGACGGGCAGCATGCAAAAGAGCACAGAGATCATGAAGATGTCCAATCAGCTGGTCAAACTTCCCGAAGTGTCCAAAGTGATGAGGGAGATGAGCGCAGAAATGACAAAGGTGAGCGATCATTTCCGCTTTTTCAGCGATTCATCCAGTGTTGCGCTTGTCTGGCTCACATTGCCCCTCGCCATCCGCACAGGCTGGAATCATGGAAGAGATTTTGGAGGATACGCTCGACTCTTCCGTGCTAGGCGAGGAAGATGACCTGGAAGAGGAAGCTACGGGCGAAGTGGACAAGGTGTTGTTCGAGTTGACGGATGGCAAATTGGGTCAGGCTGCTGGCACGGAGAATCTGCCAGATCTCGTCGCACCAAAAGCTGCAGAGGTGCACGAGGATGAGGAAAAGGAACAGGAAAATCTGGAAAGGATGCAAGCTGCTCTGGATGGCCTTTTGAGAGGATGAGAGGTGATAGCTGCTACCTGAGCCGCAGCGCCTCTAGCCACGTAGTCAAGACTACATTGCGCACTCGATCTCGTCACGTCTCCGACTGTCCTTGCGACCGCTCACGCTCGGGCGGTGGACCCGAGCGAGCGAGCCGCTAGACCTGTCTAGAGTCCCGCAAGTATCAAGGCACCCGACAAACACCACCACACGACCCACCATCACAGTCACGCACCTCAGACATGTACAATTAGGACCAGAGAGGCATATGAGCGATGTATGCATTGTTGGCATCGAGTACAGCTACATGAGCAATGCGAGGAGCCGAGGAGAGGAAGTGGGCAGGCAGTAGCGATCGAGGTCAGACTTGCGCAGGCTTGACGATAAGAGTGATGATGGCGCCGGTGTAGAAGATTTCGTGCACCTGCACGTCCAGCACGGTGCCGATGGGTAAGGGCGGCGTGGTCCTATCCCAAAGCATCTCGGCAGGCAATCCAAGATCGGTCAACTGCACCCTGATTCGAGCGTCATGTCTGACCCTACTGAATCTCAGATCGGCCAAAGAGACCACTGCCGGCTGAGGTTTCAATAGTGCAGCTTCTACCTCTGACAATTCAGCCCCTCTGCGTCTCTTTTGCAATATGCGGTGCAGCTTCATGCACGCCCAAAATTGATTGATGCTCCTTTCGTTCGCCGACATTCTTTGTTCCATGAATTTGAACCTGGGCAATTCGCCTTGCAGCTCTTCCACGTTCCACCTCGGTTTGGCACCTCGAAGCGCAGACTTGATCTGCCAGTGCGTGATCAGATCGACATACCTACGAAGTGGAGAGGTACCTCTAGAGTAGCCTCCTTTGGTGAGTGCATCTCTCACTCCCTTCGTACCGTCGGCCGTGATGCCAAGGGCAAAGTGAGGCACGGGAATGGTGGATGCGTACCCCGTGCTGACCCGAATATCGCTAGTCAAGAAATCCACTTGATTGATCCTTCCCATTTCGTCCCTCCTGCGCAAGATGCGCGACACGTCGGCTGCGGAGGGAGAGCTTTGTCCTCGATAGATGACTGGCACATTCAGATCAGAGGCTACAGTACCTGCTACCCTGCCGGCCAGTATCATCGCTTCGGCCACCATCTCTTGAGCTATGCCAGTAAAATGGTTCGACTCTCGCGAAGCTGCAGAATGCATCTTGAGATCAATCGATGGGAAGCCTTCGTAGACGTTGAGCGTTGAAGCAGCGTCTGTCGAGGAGTGCAGCGGCAAGGGCATAGGCTCCACCTTGACTTCGACGTTCGTTCTCGAAGCGAAAAAGGCGCCATCCTCGACTCGGCGCAGCATCAACGACTGAGTCACTTTGTGCAGCTGTCGCACCGTCTCTGCGTGCCCTGCAAGGCTTGGAGAAGAAGCGCCTTCTCTTCCTCCTAGTATCCTACCAATTTCTTCGTACGTAGTCACCTTGACGTTCTTGATCAAAGATGGTCTCACTTTGTAGTCGTGCACTCTGCCCCTCTCGTCGACTTTGGCGCTGTAACTCAACACTCTGAGACCTTCATCCTGCCTCCTCTTAGCCTCTGTCTCTTCCAAGCCTGCTGAGCCAAGATGGCTGGCTATGGTGAAAGAGTGAGGCAGCATGGAGATCTGCTGACCGGACAGGTACGTGCTTTCATGTCTTCGCTTGGCTTCAAGAGCGACTGGATCGCTCGAATCTAGAAGAGCCGTTGGGTCGGCTACATGTACATGCATCCAGTGGGTTCCTGGTGATTCGGGTACTTTCTCGATCGAAACACCGTCATCTAGCTCGAAAGCCATCGCATCATCGATGACGAACACTTCCAGCTGGCCAAAGTCGTGTCTCTGAGTCTCCGCTTCCGCAGCCGTGAGCCGCACCTTGGTCGAAGCTGCGGTGGACTTGTCTGCAGCAAACAACGTCTTGTAGTAAGGATCGAGATCCAACGTAGTCTGCCAAGGTGCCAGAGCTCCGAGTCGAATCAAGAGGTGGTGCGTGACGGCGTGTTGCAAGTCAGTCGAGCTATCGATCACATCGCTGCCCCTTCCTTCGAGGAAAGGCGGCACTTCAGATGGTTCACCCTGAAGCGTGGGTCTGACTGCAAAGTCCAGACCACATCCCTTCACAATCTGCGACGCAAGTGCGGCGTAGTCGTTGCCTTGGAGAGCACTCGTGCGCCGCGTGCCAAGCATGGTCTTGAGGAAGGTGATTATCGTCGCGTCATCCTTGTTCCATTCCACTCCCGGCCCATCGCGATTTTGCAGTGTGACGGCGCGGGGTGCGCCCTCTTCAAAGGACACATTCCGCTTGCTTCTCCAATCCAAGACCTTCTTGGCTTTGGAGCAAAAGGTTTCGATAATGCTCCGACCAGCTGAGCCAGGCGGGGAGCGCACCCAGCTCTTGACGAGCTCCATCGAGGTGCGCTCTTCAGGTAACCGACCGGCATACAGCAGGGTCTGCAGATACGCAAAGGTATCGGGCAAGAAAGCGTGTGTATGCTGGAAAAGGAGCTGATGAACTGCTAAGACGGTGATGGCCCTCAAGCCCGGATCTTCAACCTCCAACTCCTGCTTCTTTTCCAGAACGTATGGATTCTTCCCAGCCTCAGCCTGCGCCTGAAGCGCTCTTCTCATTCGCACCCTGGAAAGCGGCTTGGTGATGACTCTATTGATCTTGGGAGCATTCGACGAGGCGATCGCATAGAGGGCCTCATCTATGTCCGAAGCGACCTCTTCGGCTGAGAATGTCCCGCCTTCCTCGCGCAGGGCATCAGGATCTGAAAGGCAACGTCGGGCGACGACTGGCGCGAGCCTCTTCTTCTCTTCCTCTAAAATATGGGCAAAAACTCTGAGATCTCTAGTGATTCGATTTCTGGCACTGAATCGGTCTTCGTCGAACGGCTCCTCAAACGGATTGATGGGATGCTTGGCCCGGTCTGTTGTCGATGTTGCTGCTGCTTCTGAGCCCTGCAGATCTGTTTCGAACGAAACAGCATTGCCTTGCTCTTTGAGGATGCGCAGATGGTCGTCAAATGTCTGTGCCGCCGGAGCATCTACAGAGTCATTCGTAAAGTACTTCGCCTCGGTGGGCGTCGCTCTGGCTGCCAAATCACGGTTGAAGAAGTCTGGAATTCTGAACATGAGTTCTGACGAGGATGCCAGGTAGACTGAACCTTTCGACGTCAACAACGCCTTGTTGTTTCTCGCGATAAGGGTGTCTCCTCGAGACCTTTCGCCGGTGCTACGATAGTCCTCATCACCCGTCGCCTCTGGCATTGGCAAGATGGCACACAGCTCCGGCGACCCGCTCTCGCCCTTCCTCCACTCCACCACATCTCCCGGTCGAGCATCCACACTGGCAGCCCCCACGCTCGGCGTCTCGAACAGCATGGCCCTGATGCGCTTCTTGAGTCTTTCGATGCTCGATTTGGCCTCGCTATCTCGCAACGACTTGGCGTGCACCTCAGCCTTACTTTCTTCGGGAAGCGGCGTCTTGCCTGCGCTCCGAACGCCAAATTGGAATCTGGGCTGTGGGCGTCCAACAAGAGTGCCAGGCGCTTTGGAGTCAGAGTTGGAACGTCCGTCATTTCCAAAGAGGTCATGCGTAGCTTTGGAGCTGCCTTCGATACTTGTCGCGTCTTCCGCATCATCTGCTGGAGAGGTATGCCCCGCATTGTCTCCGTCTGGAGGGGCCATTCGCTTGTCTGCAAGCCTTGCGACACCATAGAATAGCGCATCCTTATTTCTCTCTGCCTGCTCCGTTTCTGATCTTTTCCTAGCCAGCCGCGCTTCACGTGCACGGTCGATCTCCGTCCACCGAGCCTTTTCCTCGAGTATTGTGGCATTCTTTTGCCTTGACCTTTCCCTGTACATCATGGCCTTTTCGGACACCGCTGGTCTGGGCGGCACGAGATCCTGAAACTTGTTCCTAGCTTGCGTCTTTTTTATGTAGCCAGACTCCTTGGCGGACATGTCGCTTGGATCGTATGCTAGCTGTCTGAAACGTCCATTGATTCGCAGGGAAGACGAGGTGTGCATGCATGAGGTGCTCGAGCAGCCTATAGCTGTGTACATTTGGCCAGTCGCCGCGTCAACCCGAGACCGGGCAATGGAAGACGACGCGAGGGTGCCGGACCGTGACGGCCCCGCCATCGTGCTTGGAGGCCGCCTCAGCTTGATTGCGTGCATCATTGCGCTTGTACGGGGGTGTCCAGCCGCCGAAAGCGAAGAGGATGGAGGTGACATGACTAGTCAGCGCTCAGCTCCAAGGTACTTGGTCAGCGTGCTGCCGCAAGAATTGCCCTTCTCCTCGATTACGAACCAAAAGAAAAAGCCGCCCAGATGTGAAGCACGTGACGGCCACGCTTTCAGCTGGCTGCATGATGGTCACGTGCGCGCCGCGCCGCCCGTACATCGTCAGCCTGTCTGCGTGCGCCCGCGAAGGTGACCGTGAAGCCGGCACGCGATGAGCTTCGCGACGTGCGGTCACGAGTCAGCTTGTTACCTTGACTCATGACTGTACGGTGACTCTTCTATGTGCCTGCGCCTCCCTATACACCCGGAGTCGTGATCGACGACGCTCGCGTTCAGCATCTCAAAGACGGCCTTCGTTGCATGTTCCATTCTGCAGAGAGCCTGGCTACTATCACAAGTACAGAAACGCGATCATCAGCGGCCTTTGAGTGCGTGCTGGAAGGCCGTCCACCACTCGAAACACTGCCCTACCTCGTTCCATGGCGAGAGTTGTACCATCGAGGAGAATCTCGCTTCGAACTGCACGAAGCCTCGCTCATCAACCTTCTTGTCTCTCGAGGAGGCAGCGACCATGAATAGAAATTCATCCCACGATGCTCCGGCCAAGCTGCTCTCGCGTCGTAAGGGCGCCGCGCCTGTAAGCACCACGCCCAAATCCACATTCTCGAACCAATCAGCGGTGTTCAATTCGACTGGCGAAGCGGCATCCTTCCCTTCGGCAGCTGCTTCGACCAGCACAAATGGTACAAATGCGCCTAGTGCGTTTGGGAACCCGTCATGGAAGCCAGCTGCATCCACCACGTCCGCAAGTCGTCCCATCGGTGCGGCGTTCGCAGCAGCCGAATCATCCGCAAGCTCGTCAGCCATGCCTTCGTATCTTTTCGCTCCCGGCGCCGGTGATCCGGACCCGCCCTCTTCTTCTCCTGCGCCTTCTATCGGTCAACAAGGGAGTGGACTGGGTCGCTTCATGCGCTCGAGGGAGTCTCCTGGTCCTTCGACCATATCGGGCCAGAGGAATGCGCTGGGAGGAATGGTCGAGACGGATGCTGAGCGCAAGAAGCGATTCGACAAGGATACTGTGGGAAGCGCGATCCGGTTCCAAGAGGTGAGCATCGCGTGCCTGCACAGCCCTCCTTTCCTTGACCACGACTGACAAGCCCGCTCTATGCTCGTCGTAGCTCAAGGAGCAGCGCGAAGCGATGAGGGAACGGTACATTCGTCAAGGCGTCTTGCCAGATGATACGAAAGCACAGAATCTGGCTGCGACTCAAACTTTGCGTGGCACATGCATGGAGATGTGCTCAGAGTTTGAGCGTGTAGAGAGGGAAGTTCAAAAGGAAGCTGACCCACCCGAGCTTGTGAGTCCCTGTTATGCCTTCGTACCGCCGCATTAGGTGTCACACACGTTGACAACTTCTCGCGCACACTCTGGCCAGTATCCGGGTACGGAAAAGATAGATCCGAGGCTTGCAGTCAAGATCTATCGCAGACCGGCAGCTGGCCGCGAACTTCCTCTGCCCGACGATGTTCGTCCTCCGGCCGTGCTTCGGGTGCGTGCGAATGTTGCTTCTCATCTTGCACTATCTTGGCACGATCGGCTCACTACGTTTCCCGCATACACTTGCAGCGCACGCTCGACTACTTGTTCCACACCTTGCTTCCCACAGATCCGTCTTCTACCGAATTTGCCCAAGTCCAAGGTTTCATCTGGAACCGAACACGAGCTGTGCGACAAGACTTTATCGTTCAGGGTCAAGGCGGACCTATGACCATCGAATGCCACGAGCGAATCGCACGCTACCACATTCTGTGTCTACATTGGAAGGGTGGTCGAGGTGCGGAGGAATGGAGCGAACAGCAGGAGATGGAACAACTTCGAAAAAGTGAGTGCCATGGGCCGACCAATATGGGAACCCTGCCGCGACACGATCGCTGATTTTGCTTCATTCTGCTCCTCATCACAGCTATCCGAAGTCTGTCCGAATTTTATGCCGATCTTCGAGCGCTGACAGGCAAGAGCGCACCCAACGAAGCGGAATTCCGGGCATACGAGCTGTTGCTGCATCACAGAGATCCGGACACTTTGCGAGAGATCGAAAGACTGCCCCCCATCATCTTCGACTCGCCTACTCTGCAAACGGCATTGCGGCTGCGAGGCCTTGCTCAGGGCGCGGGCCCCGACAAACCGAGGGATGGCAGTGAAGGCTCGCTCAATCTGTGGACTCGTTTCTTTGCGGAGACAAAGAAAGCACGAGTCCCCTACCTGCTGGCTTGCTTGGCCGAGACTATCATCCCGACGGTCCGAGCGGGCGCTCTGCGAGCGATGTCCTCGGCATACATGGCACAACATCCACCGTTGCCCGTGCAAGACCTGACCAACGACCTCTCATTCGACAGTCAGGAAGAGGCTTTAGAATTTGCCAGGAATCGGGGCATTGGCGAGCAATGGACGACGGAAGAATCAGGCAAAAAGACGCTAGCTGTGCGGATCGACAACAAGACGGAACGAGCATTGGGTGAGCATGATGTCAAAGGAGCTCATAAAGTGTGGACTAATCGCTATCTGATGACGGCTGATTGCTCTTTGATGACGTATTGCACAGTGTCGGATGTACAGCTCGAGCGTAGTAAAGCAGTCCCCTTCTCTCAAATCGTAGTGGAGAGCAAACGCCAGCGCTGGAGCTGCCGCGACATTATCGATGGAGTTGCGTCAGGTGCGACTCCACTTCTCAACCACGATGGCGGACAGCCACTGCCTGCGCCTTTTCACCCTGCTCGTCAACCATCCGCAGCACCATCGGTACCTTCGAGGCAGTCAGCGACGCCGGTGACGGATCACTGGAACGCGCCTACCTCACGCAAGGCTGCACTACCACCGCCTGTGATCTCAAGACCAGTGCAGCCCTATTCTGCGCCTGTAGCGGCTCCTTCTGCGTTCGACAATTCATCATCAGGAAGCATCTGGGGTGCGTCTCAACTGCAGTCTCGTTTGGGAGGGGTTCAAACAGATCTGGGGCCTCTAGCATCGCAAAGTCAATTCGGATCGGCACCTACCCCTCTCAGAGCTTCCACATCAGCTGCTGCAAGATCGTCAGCACATCCTTACACCAAACCATCTTCCTCTTCCTCCTCTTTCTCGTTTCCGTCTAATACTTCTTCCATCACTGCCCCCTTCTCCACAGCCCCAGGAAACGCAACTTCAACAACGATGGGCCAGTCTACCAAAACAGCTAGTAGTGCGTCGATACCGTCTGCCTTCCCAGCACCTGCTGCTGCTGCTGTATTCGCCAGTGCTGCATCTCTGCGCGCTGCAAAGTTGCCGAGCGGGGTTGCTACTGCGGCCGTTGTGCCACAAGCATCAAACGCGCAGGCCGTGAGCGGGAAGAGGCGAAAGGCATCCGATCCTTTCGTCTCCTCCTCTCCTCCAAGCTCTCCTTCGCACGGCAAGCAGCGAGAGGCATCCAACATGCAAAGTGCAAGAGCTGACGTTGCTCCTCTGCCCGTCGTACGCTCGCTCAGGGAAGAAAAAGGGCAAGCATGCGCCGCGCTAGATGCGAGATCACCCTCTGGTCGGCGAGAGTGCATTCAATTTGCAGCCGAAACGCTGTTTGACCGTGCGTTGGATGAGGTGCTGAGCTCGGACCTCGACCTCGACGAGCTAGCTCAGCAAGGTGCTGCGGACGCGTTCAGAGACTGGAACATTGCTCAGAATGCTTGGGATCTCTGGCTCGGTCGCCACGACTCTGTGGTGGAAATGGCAAAACAAGCAGAACGACTGGAAGCGGTGCGCGCAAAGCTGCGGAGCAGCCGTTTGGGACACAGTGGGGCAGATGCTGATGCTGATATGACGGATAAGGCAAGGTTGAGCAGTAGACATCTTCTGGGGGATCGCCATGCTCCTAGGCAGCAGGAACAGGACTTGGAAAGATTGTCACCGGTAACGATAAGGGCTGGCAAAAAGGACGACGACACGATCAGTGATTGCTTGGTCGTAGCCCAGGCGGACAGAGAAGACCTGTGGGAGCCCGGCACATTCTTTGACATCGTCGCCACATATGTGGAAGCCATCACGACCCCGGCACTTGGGCGATGGCGGAGCGTGCTAGTCACGCAAATGGCCGACTCGGCGTCGGAGTGGTTGGTTAGGAAGCTCATGTTGCCAGACAATTTGGATCCGTCGATCTCTCAGACGATCCTTTCCGACAGCTCCGAAACGCAGGTAGAACTTGCGCACACAACTTTGCCCCCAAAACCTGCCGTCATCGCCTCGCGCGACGTGGCGCTAGTCATCTTCGCGAGCTCATCTGCAGAGACGCAGAGTGACGAAGCTGCACTCGAGGTCCTTGAAGGGGCACTTGTCAATGCGCGAGGACGCTTTGCGCCTCACTTGCTCATGCTCAGGTGGGGCAGTGCTGCCCCTTCTGTAGCTGAAATGCAGCCGGCTCAGATCAGAAAGCGCGAGGACGCCTTTGGGGCGCGAATCTGGTCAAATGTAGAGGAAATTCGTCTGGAAGGCTCGCTTGAGCAATTGAAAAGTGCTTTCGGGAATGGTCTTGACCAGCTGTTAAAGTTCATCCCTTGGCGCAAACAGTTGGCTAGCCAATCCGATGCCCGAGAAGTGCTCAGCGCTCTCTGGACCCCTCTGGCGGCTGCGGCTCGAGCGACAGATTCCTGCCTCAGGCACTTGCTCGAGGACGAATTGGTCATCGCAGCGACCCCTCGCGTGTCCGCCGAGACAGCGGCCAGGGTCTTGGATCTGCTATGGCATACCATCAACGCCGTCTCTTGCATCGCTTTGAGGCTCTGGGAGGACGATGAGAATGGCACGGAGAACGTCTTGCTAATCGTGCCGAGCGACGTTGCCAGACTCTTACCTGAGGACACACTTCCCCTTCAACTGCTCATAGAGGCAGCGCGAGAGAGTTACGCAGAGCTTGGCATCATGGAAGACGTGACTCTACGTGAGTACGTGACAATGTTCCAAGTTCCGCATGGGCGCTGACCTCCTTTCCACACGCTATGTCTCAGCGTTCTCTGTCGTGCGCTTCGTCGAACAAGTGTTCCAAGGCATCATGGAGAGAATGATTTCGACGTGCGATGACGGAATGTTACGCCCGAAGAATGAGCTTCTTTCAGCCATCAGCCGGGCTGAAGATGTTGCAGCAAAGAGCATCAACGCCATAGCCGCAGAGGATCGCGCATGGACCGATCTCGCGCGGGCCAGGCAAATTTCGGCGAGCGAAGCATCCTCCCTGCAACCCGTCGCCGACAGGCTGATGGAACAGGCAAGTGCGGCGCTGCCATCTGCAATGACCACGTCGAGCAAGCGCTCTCCGTCCGAGTCGGGGTGAGCAGGCACGAAAGGTTCGATAGTGTCCGGACTGCCATGTTTCTGACGTTCAACTTTCTTCCCCGACCATTGCGCAGCTCGAGGTCAAGCGTTGCTAAGCGAGCCAAGATCGTTCGACCATCTCGTGCAAGTCCGACCTTGTCCGGGGCTGCTCCTCGTCATGCCGTCGCCACTTTGCGAGAGCTAATGTCGAATGCGGAGATATTTCTGGAGACCAAGCCGGTCGATGAGTCCTTTGCTTAGCTGCTGCAAACCACACCATGTCCCTGTTGCGCGATGCGGATTGTAATGCTGCAATGGTTGCTCTCATAGTCACCAGTCATTTGTGTATATTTCAATGCCCACTACAAGCCCCGTCCAGTCCCAGACTGCTGCACATCCAACATCTCTCTGTACGCACACAATGACAATTGAGATTGCGACGTTGCGCCTTGTTTTCAAGATGCGCCTGACAAAGTAGGAGCGGATGCGGCAGCCTTGAACGAGTCGGTGCCTAGTCGATCGAAAGATTCTAGGTGCGCTTGTCGGACAAAGGCAAGGTACTGCTTGAGCGAATTACCGTGCATGGAGATAAAGTCCAAGTAAAGCTTGTGCTTCTCATCTGCCACCAAGTTTGGCAAGTTCAGGGCAATCGCAAGATTGCTGAGTGCGAAGATACAAGAGTTGGTCCGATGGTGCGAGTCATGGAGTCAGCTTTCTCTCCTGCCATGGCGTGCAAAGCGCCAAGAGGCGATACTGGTACGTACCCAGGAATGAACTCGGAAGAGTCCAGGAGCATAAAGTGTAGCCTAAAGATGAGCTCCGGAATGTAAATCTTGCGTATGCGAGTCAATTCCAATGCTCTGCGTTCAGCCTGAACATCGACGAGCACCACCTGAATCTTTAGCCAATCCATCTGCAACACCTCTTCCATTTTTTCCTGCGCCATCTCGACGATTTCATAGAGCGCGTGGACGAAAGCGTGCCTCGAAGTCTGTCGCGCATGATCCGACCCCATCGTCGTTGTCCGTTTGTTCCAAACCTCGCTGAACCGGACGTGAGCTTCGTACGCTTCGAAAAATGTCTTCCAATGCAGATGCTCCGTCTTCTCGTCCTCGGCCACTTGCGCATCGTCCAAGACGAAGAGAGCGTGCTCAGGCACATGTTCGAGCACTTGACGAGCCGCATTAACCTTACCAGAGACCAAAAAGAGCCTGAGTAACAAGTTGCTCTGCAAAATGACATCCTCCGAAGTGGACTCGTCGTACGTGAGCCAGTCGATAGCGCGAATGAGACAAATCTCCTCCTCGCTCAAGGGCGCTTCGAGAGGCAAAAGCGGTTGTTCAGGGTCCAAGCCGCTCGGCATCATCTGCACGACACGCCAAAAGAAAGTGACATCCCAATCTCCGCGTCAGTGAGCGCTGCTCGACATTAAGCGGGAGAGACAAGACTCACCGGAATGAGCTCATCGAAGATCATCGCGACCGTCATGCGAGCCACAGCAGCCACGTCGAGATCGTTCTCGCTAGCTCTTGCAAGTGCAGCTCTGCGCTCCTCTTCCGTTGCGGTGATGGGCATAAGCTTGAGGAAATGCGCATAGCTCTGCGTAGCGCTTTCCGGTTCCAAAGCGCTAGCGTACATGGCGACCAAGCTATCCTTCGCGCCGTCCACCTCCAGCACCTCGACATAGGCGCGCAAAATGGAGTTGGCCACCATGTCCGACGGAGGTTTGTCCACCTGCAATCTCCTCAGAAAGAGGACGAGGTGGGCAAAGAATCTGACTAGCCTGGCGTATATCCTCGGATCCGCCGTTTCGCGCATATCCAACAGACGCTGCTCCACATGCATCAAGAACTCGTTGACGTTGTCCAGGATGACTGCTCGTTGCACAACGGCGTACGGGTTGTTTGCTTGTTCATGAACCCCATGCGACTCTGTCTGGGCGAGTACCTCGAAGATTTGTTTCAATTCTCGATTGATCTCGCCCTTGTCTGCTGATCCCATCGTCTCCGTCGTGTTGGCTCGTCGAATGATGGCGAGAGCGTCGGGAACGACGAGTTCGTTGAGCTTCACAGCCCCAACTTGACCGCACGCTTCAGGAAACGTGTCTGTAGCGTCTTGGCTCCACCAGCCTGCCCGTGCATTCAGTCCCTTGTCGACGGCCGCCTCCAATCTAGCGTTGACATAAGCCCACAGATGCGCTTCCCAGCTGCTAGAAACGGCCAGCACAGATTGCAAGTCGCCGCTAAGCGCGCCGTACAGCGCTCTTTCGTGCTCTTCTATGCCGCTCTTGGAAGCCAAAGTGCGACAAACCGCCTTCCACAACAAGCGATTGCGATTTCCAGTAGCTTCCTCTGGCTCGTCCAGCGCTTCTTCGTCGTTGCCGCAACCAGGTCGCCAATGCAGTATCGCACCTCGCAAACTGGCAGCTCTCCAAGGTTGATCCGCTTGTCTGGTCAAATCCAGCGCCTCCAAGAGTCTTCCAGCTCTGACATATTCGAACAGCGCTCGAGTCAACGCTTTTTCGTACGTCGCATCCTCTCGAACTTCTTGAGGGGCATCGGGATCCAAGCTTTGTGTGCGCAAAATCTCGATCTTTTCTTTGTTCAAACGCGAAGCTGGTTTGTTCGATCCTGTGCGCTTTTCTGAGCGAATCTTGTTCCGCGTGTATGGCCTGTAGCCCTTGCGCACCTCCACTACCGACACGGACTCGCCCAGGTATTCGGAGAGCCAGGTTCGGACGAGCTGCACGTGGGTGCAAGGTGATGGGTGAGTGGATTAGCGCCAATTCCAGATCGAGGAGAATGAAGATCCCTGCGATCGGGACGCACCTCGAGCTCTGCGAGACCGGGACTCTGGGCCAAGAGTCTCTGCACCGAGCTGAGCGGCGTTTCGTAGGGATGGGAGCTGGAGCCTTGAGAAGCTTGCAGCTCGGCAGCTGGCTGTCTCGACAAGCGATCGCTGAGCAGCGGCACGTGTGTGTGGGATCAGTGCCAAGCTCGTCCATGTGCGCCAACTTACCATCACAAGTACTCACTGGTACAGCCTAGCGATGAGCTGCCAAGTCCTGGCTTCTCTGTTCCAAGCATCGATATCTTCCTGATCCAACGCTTCTCCTCCTGTTGCTCCACCCACTTCTTGACCTTCGTGCGCCCCTTCATCCCTTCCCAACAGTCCCACACCCCCTCTGACTTCTTGCTCGGCTCTAGCGCTGTCAGCTCTTCCTTGACAAGATGCGCTGAACCATGCTGCTAGGCCCGTCTTGAGATCCAGCAGTTGAGATCGATCGCTCTCTCGAGAACCTAGAAGAGCATCGGCAAAATCTTGTCGTACGCGATCGTACATTACTGCTTTGTATGGTCCAGGTGCCCAAGATCACATGACCTGGCTGGAGTGAGGGACCCACGACGAGTTCGAATGTTTGCGTGCAAAGAAAGAAGAGGGGGGCGGAAAGGTGAGCAAGCAGTGTTGAGTGTATGTGGAAGGGGCGTGAAGCGCTCGCAAAGCACATCGACCAATCGTGAATCATTCTTGATTGCGGCTCACACCTCGTGACCCCGCGGTGACAGAAGACACGCACCAACAATATCGCGCGAGCAGCATGGAGGACGCGTCCGCATGCGCATGCGATGCGGTGCGGTGCGGTGCGGTGCGGTGCGGTGCGAGTTTGGTGACGGACCTCCGCAAAGATTCGCAACCAACAGCAGCTCTTGTGCGTACATACAGCCGAACGGTAAATTCACACTCTACGCATCTGAGCTTCTCTCACCCAAAACACCATTCAGCACTCAAGCCAATCTTCCGCTCACTGTCTGGATACTTGGAAGCTACAATATCGGGACAGGTCCTGTCTTGGGAGGAGGAGTAGGGGTCCAACCATCACGCTCACTCGATTGTGCGCGCCTGACAGTCTGGAGAGGACAAGATGGCGAAAAAGTCGAGCAACCCGATGGATGCTGCGCGTGAGTATCGGTCTAAAATGTCAAAACGGTCGCACCGCCAAAGGGCAAGACGGAGGAGCAGGCAGCTGACTGCGCATCCTTTTCTTGCACTCGACACTCGATTCGCAGGCAAAGCAGCGCGCAAACGAGAGTTGGAGAGAAACAAGGCATCTCGACAAAAAGTCAGAGACGAAATAATGATTCGGAAAGATCCGCGTCCTCTACAAGCCGAAGTCCGACGATTGGAGAGATTGAGCTCCACTGGCAATGGCAAGTTGTCTGCTATCGACTCGAACGAGCTCAAGGAGAAAAGGGCAGAGCTGGAAGCAATGTTGAGGTTAAAGGAAGAGTTTGTAGCCAAGCATCCCAACAGCCGTAAACTCGTCTTTCCAGGGGAAGAAGAGGAGCGAGCGGAGAAGGAGAGACAGAGGAAGGCTGAAGAGGAGTCTAAAATGGCTGCGGGTGCTGGCAAAGCATCGTCTGGGCCAGCAGGTGGAGGACAGTATGCGGGCATAATCCCGGAAAGAAGCGTCTATTACGATCCAGTGTTCAATCCAACCGGTGCACCTCCTCCTGGAATGCCGTACAGAGAGAAACGTGAGTGGCATGTTGGTGATCCATCCACTCGCTCCTGTTTGACAGTGCATTGCCCTTGGCGCCGCTCCTCTGCGTCTTACCAGCGCCTGATCAGTGGCCTGCACCCCCGCTACCCTCGTCGCCACCACCAAGCTGGCCAACAACTTTTGACACCAGGTTCGAAGCGCAAGCAGGCGAGGAGAAAGCCGACGTGCTGTCTGGTGATGAAGTCGGCACCTCAAATTCGGATACAGACTCCGACTCGAATTCGGACGAAGATGGGATTCAGCTTCCCGAAGGTCCTCCACCTTTACCTCCAGCTGCCGACGTCGAGGTCAAAGAGGAGAGCGAAGAGGATGACGACGATGATGACGACGGGATCGTCATGCCCTCTGGTCCGCCTCCTCCCAAAGTCGGATCGAACGTCCCAGCTGGGCCTACTCAAATGCACTACACCGGTCCGCCACCTGGCTTCGGCACGCACTCGGGCACAGACATGCCTCTGGCCGCTCCCAATTGGACAAGCCACGGTCCAATGTCCGGTCCAGGACCTTTTCCAGCAGGGCTTAGTGACCAGATGAGGCCTCCAACATGGCAGGCTGGGCCGAGCCAATTCAGACCACCGCCTCCAATGCGTCCCTTTCCAAGAGCAGGTGCACCGAGAGGATTTGAAGGATACGCCGCGCATGCAGGCGCGGGCGGAGGCGTACGTGCAGATCCAATGGCCTTGAATGGAGAAGTGAGGCCCACTTATCAAAGCTGGCGCGCACGACCTCGACCTTCCCCTCATACTCTCCATCCTTCTCCATCCGGACCAAATTCCGTGCCAGCAAGAGCTCCGACCGGTCCTTCCGCCTCTTCTGCCGCCGCTTCCCATCATTCCCGGCCACGAGCTCCCGGTCCACCACCAGTGCGACCGCCAACATCCATCTCCGCCGCTCCTCAAATGCGCGATTTCAGAAAAGAAGCTGCAGAATTTGTTCCGCCCGCCTTGGCTCGCAAAAGAGCCGCGCAGAGAGCTCAGGCTGCTAAAGGAGGTCTGCCAGGTATGGTCGATGCTGCACCTGCATCTGGACCCAGAGCAGATCAGCAAGAGGCGACTTCTTCAAAAGATGACACACAAAGGATCGGCCTGATGGACAGGCTCAAACCTCATCTCAATACGAGCCGGGATGCGCAGGAAGCAAGTCCCAGGTCTGGCCAGGCTCCAGGCAGAAGGAAGAAGGATGACGAGTATGAACGATTTTTGGGCGATATTGGGGATCTACTCTGAGCTTCATGCTTGACACTCTTGCGTCAGGCAACAGGAGAGTCATGTGTGCGATGATCGTGCAGGTGCTCGACCAGTACCAGCGCGTCGCGCCCGAACATTGCATCCGGCACCTCTAGCATTCCCATCAATCTTGACGCTGCCTCTTGACGGCGCCACTTCGATCTACAGGCAGCTCACCAAGAGGCTTTCTGCCTCCGCTCCATGCTTGGTGCGGACCAGCCACGAATCCGCCTTGCCGCTCTCGATGCTGCTGGTTGCGCACTTGTTGCTCCGCATACTTTGCGTCTAGCGGCGCAACGACAGGTCGGCCGAAGCCAGTGTTTGGTGCCACATAGGCATGACGCACAGGCTGCCCGTCGGCCCGAGTAGACGTTGAAGAGCGCGCTGCTTCAGGTATCGCGCTACCGTTTGATGGCTCGAGATTCAAGTTGCCCACGCGCGCCGCTGGTCGACCCCTGACGATGGATGTCGCCGCTCTGCGTTGTAGCGAGCGATTTGGAGAGCTTTTTTGAGTAGACATTCCTACTGCTGGCTTCGATGCAGCTGAGCCACCCACAGAGGTCTGTTGGGCGGGACGCTGTCAGAATGGAACATGAAGCAACACGTTAATGACGTGCCCGATACTCACCTCTGCTTGGAACCTCGACGACCCAACGTTGGACTGTGCGCCCACAAAATGACCTTTGCTGGGTGCTCTTCTCATCATCGGACCGCTAGGGTTGCCTGGAGGAGCATTGCTCGCGCCCGCGCCACTGAGTCCGCGTTGATGAGTGGGCAGAAAAGGTCGTCGATCAGGAGACGTGACCGATTCGATTTTTTCCCTCTTGACATCCATAGCTGCTCTGTAGTCTTGCAGACCTGCCACACCGCTGTCATCGCAATCCATACCGTGCGCTCTCTGTGCTTGAATGGACGCGACGCTATAGCGTGCTCGCTGTTCCGACTGCTGCTGCTGCTGCTGCTGCCGCTGCTGTTGCGGCGGCTGGACGGGACGGAAAGGGCCTCGGACCTGGTATGGCTCAGACTGTTCCGCTTCTTCTTCTGCCGCTAATTCCAAGTACATGGCAGCAGCTGCTGCATCGTCGTCCTCCAAATCGCCATACTCGCTCAAGTGATCCCCATCCGCAATGTGATCCATTGCACCGTCCATCGGCACATTTGTGACTTCTGACCATTGAGGTGGAGGACGTTGTTCCAGTCTCTGTTCGGCAAGCGCCACCGCTTCCGACATCTCTGCGTCCCCAACATCGCTCATCATCTGAGCAGTCGTAGGACGACGAAGCTCATCAGGGGCATGTGCTTTGAAAGATTGTCTGGAGGCCGTGCCCATTTCAGAGACATCTTGCTGCATTCGTTGACTTTCCGGAGATTTAATAGGCTTCTGTCCAATAGGCGCCAAACTCTTCGACCGGCGCAAGCGATGGTCTTCCTGCTTTTGCGCTGCAAGGGCTAAGCGCTCGGCACGGCCCTTGTCTGGCGATTCGGATCGCACGCGTGAATCTGCACTGCTGGAGTCGTGTTGCAGAGGCCGCTCGGGTTCGCGCACTGCTCGTTGACGTTGCGGCGCTTCTTGTCTAGGCATTGTCTGTGCGCGAGATAGCGAAGTGGCCTGAGGCGCTGCTGCGCTGATGGGCTTATTGGTGCGGTTAGCCGGCACAGGAGGTGGACCCATAAGTTGCGCAGCACTCCTCGAGCTCTCATTACTCTGATCGATGGGGCTTGCCCTTGCCATTTGTTGCTTGTCATACTCCGCAAAGTATGCTGCTTGTTGTTCGCGAGCCGCTTTGAGCGCTCCGGGATCTGGCGCTCTTTTGAGGTCGCTCATGTCATACGTAGCTGGTGCCGCCTTCTCCTGCTTGGCGAGCTGGTCGGTAAAAGTTCTGTCGTACAGACAATTGCCCACCATCCTGCCAAACGATCTCAGAGCTCGCTTGAACGCATCCGTCGTCGCTTCCTTCCGTGCCTGATGCATTCCGAGTGACGGTTTTTCGTGAGTGCGCCCAACACTTAGCTCTTGCTGGCACCTCAGCATACACGCACCTTTTCGAAAGCTTGCCCCTTGTTTTTGCTTCCTTCCATCGCACCATACCCAACGTCTTCATGGAAGGTCCCATCGCGAAGGGTGATTCTGATGATGCACGACATTCCGATTCTCACTTTCCCATCGTTGTCGACGTCGCAAAAGTCCGTATCCATCCGCACTATGGAGGTAGACCAGCCATTGAAGCCAAACACCTCGTTGGCCAAATCAATGGCTTTCCAGCCCTCTAGGTACGACAGCTTCTTTCCTACAAGATCATGAGTCCTCCCCTAAGTCAACCTGCGAGACATACTGCCAAGCAGTACCACTCACCACCAGTGCCGTAGCCCGCTCGTGTCTGAATATACTCGGGACCGAGTCGCCTGTTGAGGGCGGTCTGCAGCGCCGAAATCTGTCTCAAGCCGTCTACTCCGGGTCGAGGCGGCACACTCTGACTGGCAGGGAAAGGTGATGGCCCATTCTCGCTCCCGCTAGCGCTCGCGAAGCATGCGAGCATGCTCTCCGCCAGCATTCGACCAAGCCAAGTGGCGTCTGCAGGGTTCGGCCCAGCGCCAAAGTTGGTTTCATTCTGAGAGGCGGAAGGTTTGATCGAAGTAGGGCCGTCTTGAGCATCATTGACATGTGCTGAAGGACCTGCTCGGACGTCTCCGGCACCCGTGTGGTCGCACGGTGACATGCTATGTTTTTGTCCGTCGTTCTCGCCAAATTGCCTTTGCGCTGCGAGACCGCCGTAGGGTAGATGAGATGCGACCCTCCCACCGTACAGTGCGGCTGGTCGACTTTTGGCCTCGGCAGAAGCCGCAGCTGCAGCCTTCGCGTGGGATCGTAACTCAGCTTGTCGGCGCTCGTACTGGAAAATGTTGATATCCGAGTGTATGCTAGATTGGTTTGACATGGATGCTGTAGAAGTGCGAGCCTAACGGCGCCTTACGTCGAGGTGCACGTCGTCTTACCGCAGTCTCCGTTTCGGCACGGAGGTGGCGGATGGTATATCTGCTGAGCCGCACTGGAGCGAATTACGTTGTTTGAGCTAAATCGCCATCCGCGGCAATCTGTATTAGGGCGGCAATGTAGGAGACTCGGATTACGGAAAGATGGAATGCAACACACTTTCGCATGTTATTGAAGGTCAAGAGGACGCCGATGTCGAGAAGACATCCGCGCGCAGTCGCGAGTCAAGTGTTGGACCTGAATGCAGGCCAATAGAATGACCTTAGCGGAGCGCTCCATCAGACGCGGCGCGCGCGCCGCGCGTGCTAAGCAGATTTGCACGTGACCCAAACATGCATACCCTCTGATGCTTCCCACTTTTTGGCTATGACTCTCGACGTTGACTCCTGACTCCACTACTCGATCAAGTCAAGAGTATGGTAGTCAGCTGTACTATTCAACATTGAATCAGAAATTTCGAATGTTTGAATCTATTGGAGCCGACGAGCTGCTGGTGCAATCACGTGAATCGGTCTCAAGAATCTGATGAATCTGAATCTGAGCCTGAACCAAGGCATCCGCCTGAACCAAGGCATCCCTACATGCAGCGCATTCACGATTCACGGATTACGGATCACGAGGTTGGGCATGATGGATGTGGGGGTCCGATGCACGTCGCTCTTTAGGATTACAGCTCCGGGCGCTGGAGCATACGTGGATTTTCGGTGCAAGGGTCAAAATTGATGAGACTCGCGAATCACGCATATACACCTACTCTGTATATCTATCAAATCGAAAGTCGCGGGCTGAGAGCGGGGTCACGCGATCAGGGGTCGAGTGTCTGCGCCACTAATTTCTATTCAGATTCAAATTCTTGATTGTAAACAAGTCAAAAGCCATATAGCGATCGTGAATTAGCACCTTGCATGGCTCGCATATATGTGATCACGACATCACGAATCAAAATGTGAATAGAGTGGCACATATAGGTACCGTATACCTGGGTCCCACTTCCCCGCATGTAGGGTACGGTATGCTAGCAGCACGGAACCGCGCGGTCTCTACACCGTACGTGATATAGAGCAGCAACGCCCGCTCGAGGCGTGTTGCTCAATCAAATGTACCGCGGTACCGTAGGTACACAGTCTGTGAGTACATACGCGTATAGATATCACGACAACCCGCTCGACGCGGCGGGGGGACGTGATGACGCGTGCGCACGGAGCACATTCGTGATTTCCGTGCGCATGCATGCATGCCGCTGCTATGGTGGCGCTGTACAGTACATGCGCGCGCGCGCGCGCGCGTGGGGTTGACATGTCGTGCCCAGCATACCCGCGCGGCCATCACTCAAGACTACGACTTGTGACTGCGCCTCCACCTGTCCGTTGCATGGGCGCCGTTCAGATACCGTTTATGTCATATAGCCACAGCTAGGGGGCATGGAAGCGTTGCCAGCACCTGCTTGCCGTTCATCACCCTGCGTTGTCCTCCTCCAGGTTGACGTTTCTTGTTGCAAGGCAGAATGTGACTGTACGGTACAGCTGCTGCCTGCTAGCCTGCTGGACAACTACGAATTGCTACAGCACGGTACAGTCACGGAGTGACCGGGCGCAGACAGACTTGATTCTTGACTGAAATTGTAGAGTTGCCTGGCCTGCCTTTCCTGAGGCGTACCGCGTACAGGGATGGCAACACAGCCACAGCCACTCGTCATATCTCGGGTCCAGAGTCAATGATCACGCACCACGGCAGCCGTGATGGCAGCCTGATTCACGATTGTGTCATTTGCGCGTCGCTATGCTGTTCCTCTTGCCCTCTTTGTGATGTGGCAGGGAGTCAGGAGTCGAGTTTGGAGTCATTCGTAGTAGTTGCTAGTGAAGTGAGCGTCACACGCACCCTCGCCTGCCGTGACTTTCCAACTTTAGACTCATACTCACACTCCACTCACATCTGGACAAAGGCCGTTGACAACCGCGCGCTCGGCATTTTGCATTCCACGTCACCACTTGCTCCTGCTGCGAGCAAACAAGAGGTATATCGATCGTGCTTTGACAAAAAGTGAGTCAAAAGGCCCGTCGCGAGCGGCTTGTTTGCGTGGTTCGCACACGGCGGACCCTTGCTCAGCGCATCCACACTCACCACTCCTCGATCAGATTCGAAGACAGCACGCTACCCCTACTCAGACCAGACCACCATAGCTGTCCCCCACAAGCCACTACTCGAACATCCATCCCGTGGTGACAAGACTTGCTGATTCACAAAAGTCGGCAAGGCACACGTTCCCAGTATCCGCTCGACGACCTTGCTTCAAGAAGCACCCCCGCGGTAGTCATGTCTGCTTCACCCATGACCATTTCAGCTCGGCGTCCGAGTCCGGCGACGAATCATGAGACTCGAGGCGGTGCTGCTAGTCTGAGCTCTGCCTCTGCTCGCGCTCCAAGAGGCGCTGATTTGTATGGCACCACACCAGGAGGGTGAGTCGCTTGCGTTCGCCGAGACTGCCGTCGGTGCAGCATTGGGTGCAAAAATCTTCGGGCGAGAATCGCGGGAATGGGAGGGGGGTGGGGGTGGGGGCAGCCGGACCGCGTGCAGCAAACGGAGCAGCACGCACACGCTCGATCCTCGCATCGAGGGGCTGGCGGAACAGTGAGACATTCAAGTGTCTAGCAATTCGCGCCAATCTCACCAGCATTCTTCGCACTCCCTGCTTTCGCTTCATTGCAGCTCTCGTCTAGTGTACTCGCGCGAGCAACTACTACAGCTAGCTTCTTCTCCCCTCTCGGCCAGCCCGCCAAAGGGTCTAGGTCCCAACGGCATTCCAGCTGAAATCTCTCGTTCGCCCGAAAAGTCCTACTACACTTACGGTTCCAGCTACGGCTCTCAGGCGGGACAAGTTGATCGGGCTTCTGTGATAGAGACGAACGGAACAGGAACCATCGACTCCGGCTCGGGCGCAGTAAGGTCGATCTTTGGACGCACGCCCGAGAATTTCGATGTCTCCTCCAGCAAAAGGGCGCACCAGAATCACAGTCACAGTGCGCAAGTAGCGTCGACGACGTTTAGAAGCTCCACCGCTCCTGGCTCTTCTTTCGCTACTGCAGCGACGGGCGCAGGGCAAGACCATACGAACAAAGGTGGGGCGATCAGAGGTTTCGCACCTTCTTCCCCAAGCGCCATCAGAACGCGTTCCCCGTCCACCTCCTTCAACATCAACACTACCAGTCCGAGCAGCAATGCGGCAGCTGGAAGTCCCATCACTGCCAGGTCTGGCGCTCCTCGGTCTCCAGGTTCAGCCTTTACCTTTTCGGGTCCTGTCAGTCCTACACAAAACACCTCCTCAGCCAGCAGCAGCAAAGCAGGCGGAGCAAGAACAGGACATGGTCGACCGCGCGATAGTTCTAGCGCCTCGCCGTCTCGTGAGAAAGGCACCGTCATTGACTCTGCCACCCCCGCCGCCGCTGCTGCTCGTGAGACCAACACCCACAATGACGAGCACTTCCACATGGACCTCTAGAATGCTCGAAAGAACATCTGTTCCATCGTCTGAATGTCGGGGGGCCCAAATTACGCGACAGTCCATGATTGGAACTGGGGACCCGCGTTTGCAAGGCAAAGCTGACGGAACTTTCGTACACTCGTCCGATCAATCAATGTATTGTCCTTAGACCGGTGACTGCGTGGTCGAAGAGCGGGAGGAAGTCTGGACTGATGTAAGCCGATGTGTGTACCGGTGATGCTGTTGTGCTATTCAAGAAGCCGTTGCGCCCGACTTCAAAGCTTGCCAACGAATAGATCGTCTTGAAAAAGATGCACGCTCCAGGTCGGAATGCAAGTGACATATCGGGACCATGGCAGGACTGCAGACGTATGAGCAAAGCCAAGAGATGGACGAGGTGAGTCAAGGGTGTTGCGATTGGGCCGGAGCATCGAGGCAGGCGAGCGATCCGCCATTTGTGCCTCAAACTCACCGTCCATGTGCGCACTGAAACGGGAAGCGCGTCGAGGCGAGCTGTTGCAGCATTCTTTCGCACTGCTCTTTCTGCAGCGCGTCATTGAACACTGTTCACCGAAGAATGTCTCACGGCGCTTCAGCTCAACAATCGTGGCAGAGACGCGTCGAGCCGTCCGCTACCGAAGCAGAGCTGATTGAGAGCAACTCACTAATCGCACCTCGACAAGCCTTGCTAGCGATCATCTCCAAGATTCGAGGAGGCAAATGTCGAAGTCCAGTCAACCACGCCTCTTCCTCTTCCTCTTGGTCCTCTTCCTCCCCGCCCTCGCGCCTCGCACCACTCCTCTCATCTCTGACCGCTCTTTTGCGCCCCAACAGATGCTTGGCCCTATTCAACCTCTCTGCACCTCCTTCTTCAATCCAGTCCACCAGATCTTCCAAAGCAGCCGACAGCGTATTCAGGTCCGTCAAACGATCCTTTAGAAGGCTTGGCAGCGTGCGTATGATCAATGTGGATCCTGATGGAGCTCGACTCTCTCTCACGATTCGCGACGGCTCATCCGTCGGTCCGCGTGCAGTCGAAACAGTTCCCGCGCCAAAGCCGAAGCCCAAGCTTTCCAGAACTTGTACAGACGTAGAGTCCTCGCAGAGACTAGCGACGCTGCGGCTAGGCAAGCGCATCTCGTGCGCTTTCGGCAACGTAAATGTCTCTAGCTTGCCTTTCGAAGCTAGGACCGGCTCAAGATACGTGCGTAGGAGCAGCTCGAAGCGGATACGTTCTGATCGAAAAAGGGTGGGAGAGCAGAAAAGGTCAGCAACCGACTGGGCAAAGGAGGAGCATCGGAGCAGGACGGAGGCGCACCGTCAGCTGCATGTTGGTCGACCAAGACGAGCGCTTGGCCCTTCTGAAGGGGCATGGTGCACGCAATGAACTTGTTGTCCACCTGCTTCAGCACGCGAGCTTTGGTGAGATCTGCAGCACGCAGCGACGATATCGTGCTTCCATCCTTTGACGCTCCACGCTGGGAGAAGAACTTGGAAGCGAGGCGATAGTTCGGACCTGAGGGTCTGCTTCCTTCATTTCTGTCTGGAAGTCGGGAAGGATGATCCGCAAAGGTGCTCTTGAATATAGGAACATCCGCGCTCCCCAGAGAATCCACGCATGGAATGTCGGCTTCCGCAGGGGCAGGCAACGTCGAGTCCCTGCTAAGCCTCATCGCTTCCTCCAACCATCCCGGCAAGCTCGAGTCCGTTGCAGCCCTGCCACTGTCTAACAATCTCCGACTCTTTCTTATCGCTAGCGGAACCCTCTTCTCAGAGTCGACGGGCAATGAATCTCCCGTGCGCTCATCGACGAGGTAATGTTGGCCTACTCTAAGCTCCTGATGGGGCTCAGCGGTGCTTAGCACGGATGTATCGCGTTGAGCGTGTTGTAAATCGCAGCAGTGTAGATGCTGCCCTTCAACGACGTCGCAGTCGTACTGACTGGCCTCAGCAACAGCATTGCGAGCTTTGAAAGCTTCAGCAAGGTGTTCGCTGAAGCCTTTGCGCTTCTTCGACGTTGGGCGACGGGACAGATGCCTCTGCACGATGGGTGATGGATGATCCTCGGCTCTCATGGTCGCATCAGGGCGTGTTGCACCAGTTTTCAAACCCGTTGTGCGCTCCCTCTTCGGCATCTTTGCAGTCAAGAGGCCCGACTCGACCAGCTCTTCCGCGACCGTCTCCGAGAGGGCCCTGGCGACCAATCCGACAAGTTCGTCCTGACAAGCCGTCTGCTGCATAGCCCGCGCCGATTCCTTGCCAGCTCTGAGCGAAACATGCAGCACGTATCCCGGACGCGCTTGGACGCCCTTCGTTGGGCTCGTCTGCTTCTTGTTTGCTGTGCGAGTTTCAGAAGTAGAGAAAGCACTTCGAGCATAGACTGCTTGTACTGCCTCGTGAAGAGCAGCGCCCTCGTGAGAGTCGACTTCGATGAGTTGCCTGCCAAAAAAGATTGCTTGGCAGCCTTTTGGCGCTGGACTGAGCAGCAACAAACCATTGACACTCAGCGTCGCCGTAGGATCGTCGAGAGCCAGTAACGTAGGCTGCGTGCTCGCACGTCGTCGCTTCTTTGGCGCTGCTCCACTACAAGCCACACTGTCGGGAGGTGAGAGATGCCTGACCTTATCCACCGATCTGATCGAGGGTGCCGCATTGCCCAGCTTGAAAGCAGCTGCAAGCCTTTCCTCATAGTCTTTCGCCTGACAAGGAAGCAATGGTCCGACCAAGGCTTTCTCAGCACTAGATGCTGCTTGGGCAGACGAACGACTCACCGCAGGTATAGACAGCACCAATTTGGACTCTTTGGACCCTTGCACGTTCACAGCAAAACGCACATCGGGCCAGCCGAGCGAAATGATGACAAGACTGTGAATACATGCGTTGATGGTGCTAGAGGCAGAACTTTGTAGTGCACGCCTTCGAGCAGGCAGCTGGTAGCGCACGCCGTTCAGCGAGCGTTGACAGACTTGGGCATCAGCATAAAGAAGGATCACCATGCGAAACCGATCAACTCACGGATGCGTAGAGATCAGAGACGCTCACGCAGGAGCCTCTTGCTCTTGTGGATGGGACGTGCACAGCACTGAGCGCGTCATCCGCAGGTCCGTTGAGCAGAGTGGTATCTCCCTGATTTGCGGTGAATATGTATTGCAGCGTATCAGACATCACGCGCAGCACATCATCCCGTCATCTTTCGCGGCTCACCATCCTCACGTAAGCCCATCGGTTGCCGAAAGTGCCAGTAGCGATGCTCAAGGTACCGACGTTTGCCATCTGATGCAAGCTCGGCGCTCTTTCCCTCCACACGTGTCTCCCAAACAAGCTCCTATCAAACCCATCCCCATCATCCACACAAGCCACACTGGGAGGAGGTCCAGCCGCACTGCTAGACCCATTCGTGGCGCCAACATCGTCGTACGAGATGCACAGATGCAAGTCTACGCGCTTAGGATTAGCCTGTAGGGCGTTGTGTACCAGCGCAGAGAGGATTGCTGGGAGTGTGGGCAGTGCGAGGTAGCTGCGAAGTTGATGCCTAGCCCGGTTTGGCAGACGTACGATCTCCTGCGGCATCGCGTGTCGTGCTGCTGATGGCAGAGCAGTCGCAGATACGATCACGTCGGGGGGTGGTGACATACTTCCAGTCGCATGCATAGCCCAGAGTGATGATGCTCGCTATCATCGAAAGCTCTGTAGGCGCTTTTACGCACATTTCCCAATCAACACTCCGGTATGAAAGAAGCAAGTCGTTGAAACTGCAGCATCCTTCATCGTTGGCTCCTATCGATGTACTGTCAGCCAGCGAGCGTCAAGCCTCAGAGCATTCGCGCGAGTCTGACAGTGAGAATCGGCAAGTGAGGGCGACGATGTGTAGCTCTTAAGCGTACAGTGAGCTTGAATGCGCGAATTTGTGCTGTCATGTGAAGGATGTCAAGTCGAGAGTCCAAATCATCGAGTTTGCCGGTCCAGAATCCCCAGGCTCGCCTCCACCCCTCATTTTGAATGTAAGTCACGTGAAACGGCACGCGCCTTTCTTGGCGGTGATGCTTTTCCCAGCGCATCTAGAGGCTGGTGCCGCAGGGATATCAACGGTGAGCCAAACATAAAGCCACTTGTCGGCACAGCTGATCGGCCACGGCTCGGGTAAAAGCCAAGGCTGAAGAATCAGGACATCACACTCGAGACTCTGCGACTTTGGATTTCCATAATGCCACTAGGGTGCAGTGCGCAATCAGTGTGATGTACGTATCCAACCAAACATTGAAGAGTGTCGGACGTTTGCGTAGGGCAATGGGGCCGGGACCGTCCAGAGCTGAATGTAGCATTCACGTGGATGCTCTCCATGTCTCCTTCCCCATCCTGACCACTTGATCAGTCAGATCAAGCCTTGCCCATCTCCATTGCCGCTTGCATTCCCACTGGCATTCGCATTCGCATTTCCGTTGCCGTCCTTCTTGTCTCTCTTTCTCCTCTTGGCCCTAGTAGCCTGTTCAGGTGAGTGGCTCGCAAACTGTGCAAATGCGGTATTGTTGCCGCTCGTCGCAGGTACCACAATACCCCCTCTTCTATTTCCCGCTTTCGGCTCCCTCTCTTCCAAGGAATGTCTAGGTGGTGGGAGGAAGAACGAAAAGCTATTCGTGGCCGATCCAGCCGTCGCAGGTGCATTTGGTTCCCCATCTTGATGATGCGAAGGAGCAATACCTTGTCCAAATGTCGATCGTCTTTTGCCTTCCCTTCTTGGTCGATTCGGAATTTGCAATGCGGCTTCTTCACCGACCGGACTCAGCAAATGTCCCGACTGCTCGTGAGAGCTACACCTGGTCTTTCCAGCATGCTCGCCTCCTCTTCTCGTCGGTTTGCGTTGTCTTCCACTGGGCGTCATGGGCAAGTGTGTGGGCGTAGAGTGTGCGGGTGCTCGCACATTGACCAGCGTCTCATCTCCTAAAGTAGACTTTTGTTCGCGCAACGTCACTTCTTCCAGCTCCGAGCTAGATCGACGTGAACGCGCTGAATCTGACCGACGTGGGTGAGGCGTTGGCGTCGCGAATGGCATTTGCGACTCGGCGAGATTCGCCGATGGAGCCGATCCCGCTGCTGCGGTGCTGCCTGATGATTGGGAGCTCGAGGCGCTCTCAGCTATGCTTGCAGCGTCAGACTCCATACCGCTCGAAGGTTGTATGTGTGCAGGCGCAGAGTCCGACTCTCGAGGTTGAAGATCTTGCGGGTCCTCGATCAATTCTGGATTAGATGACGAGCTGAGAGACGAAGCTGGCCGTTTCAGGCGGGGCTGGAAGCGATCAGTGCTGCTGGGGGATTGCGAGGTTGTGCCTCCAAAAGATGCAGGCCGATGAACAGGTCGGTCACCAGCGGCGTTTTCGGATCCCAACTGCTGGCGGAATGCAGGCCTGCTCTCTTGTCTCCTAGGTGTCTGCGGCGTATCCTGAGCTGAGACAGTATCGGCACTCAGCTCGCGTTCCCTTGAGCGCCTTGACGGCGCTCGCCTTCTAGCATCCATCGAAGAACCAGCCTGATCAGCAGCAGCAGCCTCAATCTCCTCGTCTTCCGCTTCACCCTTCAACGCCTCGATTCGGCCTTGGAGATACCTCTCCATCCAGGCCAATTCTTGAGTCGATGTCGAGGCGCTAGGGCTGGAAGGACCGGCTTGATGTTGCTGTTCGAGCGAGCGAGGATCGAGTAGCGCATCTTCCATCATTGCTTCTGCTCTCCCTCCTCTGGCGTTTCCACGTGCTCGTAGAGCAATCATGTCCAGCAAGTCTGATAGAGCAGCCAAGTAGCCGCGAGAGTAGACCCTCTTGGAGGTTGACAAGGAGGTCCTGTACAGCGTTGTTAAATGCAGAGCAGCAGCTACCAGCCAGAAGAGAAGGGGTCTCCAAAAAGTCAGCACTCGGAAGTACAGCCGCACTACAAAGAGCGCCTGCTACATCCGACCGCTCGAGGCTACACATGTACAAGGAATCACGTACCTTTAAAGTCCGCAGTGAGTGCCACCTCATCTCGCTTAGAGAAGCCGCCAGGCGGTCGACTCGAGGAGTAATCCAAAGAGTCTCTTAGGTTATTCAGAGAGTCCATCTTGCTTATGTACGCAAAGGTCCAAAGGGTGATGTGCTGGTGGGCGACGTCGCCAGAGTATGGGAGAAAGTTGAAGTTGAGAGGTGGCCTTCTGATTCAGCAGAGGACGCCTGCTGGTGGATGATTGCCTGTGGTCGACCGTCTTCCCGTGCTCCCAGCAGGCCAATCAGCGAAACCGATGCGAAGTTGGTGAGGTCTATATAGTCAACTTGAGCAACATGCAAGCGGTCCAAGGGCGGTGGTGAATGTGGGAGGCAAGCCAAACGCGATCCAAGGCGGTTGGCGTGACTTGAGGAGCTGCAGCAAGCAGCGCCCAAAGCTTTGCATCGATCGAGGCTGCTGCGAGCCAGTGGCATGCAGTGGCACTGCACTGGCCAAGGCAAGCCGGCGCGCTGAGTTGAAATCACGAATCAAAGCCTTGGAAGTCGACCGAGCGAGCGAGCGTTTGTCTGATGCACGATGTGCCTCTCACGCGCAGCGCGCTCCAGGGGCAGAGACATCAGGAAATGCTTGCAGCGAGTTGAAGCAAGTGAAGATTTTTGTATTCATGCAATACAACAACCTCGAGATCAAATTTTGACGTTCAGACATGCCCTGTCACAGAGTCTGATGAGAGTCGCGATCGCCTCCACCCATCATCCTCACGGCTCGGCGTGCTATTTGACCTTCCAAACTACAGCCTATTGATCTTTCGGGACTGTATCGCTCCGCAACCACCACCTCACAGGTCAGAAGTAACACACTTATTCATCGACCATGCCGACCATTGAAGAGATCACAGACGAGGCTCTCTCCAAGCAGGCCAACGTGGAGGATGAGGAGTGGGATGACGAGAGCGACGCAGAGGTGAGCACCAGCGCACGAGAAGTAGCGGTCAACAGCGAATTGTTTGTATCGCCAAGGGATTGCCGTCAGCGGAAAAGACTCAGCTACGAGATCACAAGTCGTCCCGGGGCTTCTCTTTCTACACGAGCTGCAAGCAGCAACAAGTGTCGTTTCTCTGCAACACGTTCAAAGCTGATACATACACACGCTTCGCAATCGCTCAGTCCGAGTTCTCCGATGACGAAGAAGTGACAGAGAAGGGTCTCTCTCTACGCGAAGAGACAATCTGGGAGCGACTAGCTGCCTTGGTAGACATTATCCCCTCTTCTACACGCACCCGCATCTCCCACACTTTCCGAACAACTTCCGCCTTTGCTTTTACAGGAGCCAAAATCTTTGGGAACATCGCTTGGGTCGTCACTACTAGTGCGCTGCTTGTGGGATTGCCTTATGCGCTCGCGGTGGAGGATGAGGGAAGAATCATTGCTCAGGAGAGGGAATTGCAATCTCAAGGCGGAGGCCCTGTAAGTAGCCACGATCGCGGCCAGAGCCTACCTCAACGCATACATGGCCCCAAACATCGAGTCACTGATGTCTCTTGTGCATCCACAGATGCTCGCTGGCGGAGGACTAGGCGGCTTGCCTCAGGGACAACAACAGCAGCAACAGCAAGCAGGCCAAGTGGGCGCCAAGCCCCCTGGCTTCTGATCGTCTCCTCCACCGCCGTTGAACGCGAACGGACGAGAAGTATAAGCAGAGCATGTACCCATGTCGAACTTGACGATCAATACATCATCATCGCTCGCGAAGCACTGTGGGGCTGTGTGACGATACCAGGCGCTGCTCCAAGTTCGCACAAAGCGTGAGCAACGGTGGCATCCGGCTCTCGCATGTGAAGAGACACAAAGTCGATGCTACGCTTCATTCCTCGCTGATCAGCGTGCGAGCGATAAGGACATTGGACGCATCAATGGGCTTCTCGAGCGGCATTTTCATCGCTGCAATGAAGGGAGCGCTTCTTACAGCCATTGTGCGACGCAGGCGATCACGGCGCTGGCAAAGCTGCCAAAGAGTTAACATCGCTGTCTCGAGCTGCGTGAATTTTTCTTTCTTTGAAACGGCAATCTCGTTGTTGAATGCCCTTTGCTTGGAGCTGTATTGAGTCTTGAGTCTTTGAAGCGTCTGCCCCAAGGATCGCACTTTGACTCAGGTTCGTGATTCAAATTCAGCATTTCTTGGCCGGACGGCATGTCAGCTCGGCCTGGCTTTGAGCGGGTCGTGAGGTCAGCAGGCGAGGCGGCGTGCGCGCCTCGGGCTTCGGCACGTGATGCACATACGAGTAGCTGTCCTGGTCGCACAGTCAAGTGTCTCGCCAATTATTCAAGATTCAAGATTCGTGGTTGCCTTTGAATTCATTTGCAGCTTCACTCATCACTCAAACTACGACTCTTGACTATGAACATCGCTCACGACTTGAAATTTTTTGATTGCAAGCTATCGCTCAAGCTCCCGGAAAGCGAAGCAAATTCAACGCCCGAGCTACACTGCGCGTCGTGGTTAACTGCATTCGGTTGAAGCCTTTGCGGGTGGAAGACCGGCCGATCTGCTCGACTCGGGTGACCATCGACGCACACTACTTTGCGCACGCATCACGCGTTCATATCACTCTCGTCTCCCTATATCGCCACATTCCTCGTTGCCAACAATCGCAGACATGGCCACGCGCTCAGACGTTCGGGACATCTTTTCCCTTCCCGACCGCACGGGCGCTTCCAGCTCCAAGCCCAGCAAACGCACGACGAATGTTCCCTCCAACATTTCATCGAGCACCAGCTCTGGACCTCCAGGTCTTCTCTCCACAAAGCCAAAATCCAGCAAACCCAAAGTGGACGGCATGACGAGAGAGCTGTATGCGCTCTTGGGAGACAATGCGCCCACCCTCAGCGTTAGCCATGCGGTTGTGGCTGGAGGACACAACGAGATGTTCAAGTTCAGACCCAAATTCAAGAAGAGACCCAACAAGGCCCAGAAATGGTACGTTGCGGGGGACAGCCAATGAAGATGCGGACGTGATACTACGCTCACCCGACTGACCCGATGAACCGCTTTCCTTCAAATCTGTCTGCAGGGTAATGGCACCTTTTCGCAACCCAGCTCGTGAGGATGACTTGGTGTTGCATCACTGGGTGCGGGAAAGCGAAGCTCTGGAAGGGAAGCAAGCAGAGAAAAGTAAGAAGGGCGACAGCGAATCGACTGAAGTGATGGATGTGGATGATGAACCCTTCGATGAGGCCAGTGAGGGCAGCACGAAAGGCAAGGGTCGAAGGTTGCCGCCCAAAGGTGAGCCGTAGTGCCATCCTTGATCTTTCGTACCGCGCTGCGTCTCGTGGTCTCTGACAATTGCAGCTAATCCTCAATCATCCAGACTACAAATTCTCGCACTTTAATACATCCTCGGGCGTCTACTCGTATTCCAACGACGAGTACCATCAGCACCTCCGCGACGACGACTGGACAAAGGAAGAGACGGATTACCTGATCGAGTTGTGTCAAGCGTACGATTTGCGCTTCGTCGTCGTGCACGACAGGTGGGAATGGAGAGGAGGGAGGGCACGTACAATCGAAGATCTCAAGGCGCGATACTACGCGGTCTGTCGACGTCTAATCAGATCCCGCATCACTACAAGCGATATGGAAGCCCGCCAGCATCTGCTGACCACTTACAGCTTTGATAAGGCCAGGGAGACGGAAAGGAAAAAGGCGGTAGAAAGATTGTTCTCTAGGAGTCCTGCGCAGCTGGCAGAGGAAGAAGCTCTATACGTCGAGGCTAGACGCTTGGAACAGAATGAAGCACGCTTTGCGGGAGAGAGGGAGGATCTGCTTAGGTTGCTTGGAGGATGGGAACGATTGCCTAATGGCGATCGAGCGACTACTGCAGGCCTGGCTGCAGGACTTGGCTACAACACTCCAGGTGGCACTTCGATCATCGAAGAGGCCTCAGATGGCAAGGTGGGTGCTGACTTTCCCTTTCCACTAAGCTTGCCTGGCTCACAACCCCCGCCTCATCTCCCGTGAACAGCGCAAGAAACGCAAGATTACAGATGGTGCAGAAGAAGACGCGCCCGCTCAATCTTCACGCACCGGCTCATCCTTGTCCCAGAAGCAAAAGGTGGAGCTCAAGCAGGCACAATTCGGTGAGTGGAGTGACGTCTGGTTCGCGCGAGGCATCGCCTCAAGCAATTTCAAGTGCTGACGATTTCGCATCCATGGCGCGACAGACGAGACGCATTGCATCGCTCGCTTCGACCCTGTTCCAGCCGCGCCTTTCAAAGCTCCTTATCCGCACCTGCAAGGCACCGCCTCATCTCAACCCCCTGTCAATCCTGTCCCCTCCAACCAAACCTCCGCTCATGGAGCCTACTTGCGTTCCGCTAGAGTGCTAGCTCCTCGATCAACGCTTCTTCCACGGGTGCATCAGACCCTCGCCGAGCTGCGTCCTCCTGTTGGACCTCGCTTAGTCTTTCCGACTCAACGCAACGTGGAACGATGGGAGGGCTTGTTGGGCGCTGTCACTGCTGGCTTGGAGATGAAGAGACAGTTGGATAGGGTAGAGAGCGAATTGAGGACGCAGAAAGCTAGAGTGGACGCTCAGATCAGCGCGATGAAGGCTGCTCAAGCGCAAAGCAAGACTCCTGCGCAGATTCAACAGGCTGGTCAGGCTGCTGCCGCTGCCGCTGAAGGTGCTCTTATCTCGCAGGAAGAAGAGGCGGACAGCGCAATGGTCCAGTAGCCCCTCGCTTCATCAAATCCGCACGCAGCACCTTTGTCGTCTCGTGCAACACACACCACGCAGCCGTTGCGACATCAGACAATTGCGTGCAAAATCGTCTTGTCGGGCAATTCAATTGTGACCGCTTTCTTTTGGGGGGGAGGATACGATACATACAATCTGACGAGCGCATCACCAGCTTCTCCAGTACCCCGCATCTGCGCCGTCCGTCTTGCCCGCATTGCCCGCTCCACTGACCTCGCTCGAGATGACGCGGTGTACTGCAGAAGCACATACGAGTATCGTCAGTTTACAAACGCAAGCAATACGGCGTGACCTCGCTCCGACGGGTCCAAAGCAATGTCCGTAACTTACCGTGGCACAAGTAGTCGACGTAGGACATCATATCGTTGTTCTGATCCTCCACCAAGTTGTTGGCCAGCTCCACTTCCATGCCGTCCCTATTCTGTCTGGCAATGAAGACGGGTAAAGCAGGTTTGCTGCGCTGCGTCGCGAAGCTTTGCACGAGCGTTCTGACTTGCTTGGAGAGCTTTGTAGGCAGCTTAGGCAGGGTCGTCTGGAGGATAGCGTGGGGTTGTGCATGCGCGTCAGCGGACTAGCCTTCAGGCCGCTGGGCAAGCGCGAGCACAATCACCCGAGGCGCGCGGTCGTCTCTGCGCGCACTGTACTCACCATGCGAGGATCGAGCTCCTCCAAAATGTTGACGCCGTACAGGTCGTCCAGCAACCTCGGATTGACTTGACTGCCAAGCCACAAGATGCACATATCTCCATTCTCCAACAAATAAGCACCATGCGCTTCCATGCGCTGATAGCTGGGGCGCAAAAGCGGAGGACACTTGATCCTCATACCTTCCACCTGCGTCTCCGAACCATCCCCATTGGTTTGTTGAATCTTGATGGGTTCTCCATCATCATCGCTCATGCGATGTAAGGCAATCATTCTCGGATACAGTGCAGACATGATCAAGTTGGTGCCCATGCCCCTCAACGTTCGCATGTGGTACGTTCTGACGTCCGACGTCACGTTGCCTCCTTTGATGGCTTTGGTTTTGTTGATGCCCAGAGCGTAGAGCGGCAGCAGCTTGAAGCTCTCTGGCAGGATGAGCTGCCCCGGGCTCGTCGAGGAGGCGCAATTACGTCGGTACGCCAGGAGAATCTTGACGCACCGCTCAGTGAGGTAGTGGCGAACGTCCCGCAACGACTTGGTGTGTGCAAGCGATATTGCTGATGCAGTGGAGTCGTCGGTCTGTCAGAAAGACGCGCACGCTTCAATTCGTGCCTCAATTTGAAACTTACATTCTTTCATAAAGTAGGCAACGGTGCTGTCCAGGTCGGCGTATCGGAATACGTTGCCAAGCAAGCTGGTGACAGGCACTGCCAAGTTCGAACACCTCACTCGTCTCTCTCCCGAAGCAGTAGTGTACAAGATGGCGCACTGGAAGTGTGCTTCTTGTTTTTCATCCAGCTTGGCTTCGTGCTTGATGAGCGCCGCAATAGACTTGTCCGCATCCACATTTGCAAACTCCAGGTCCGTCGAGTTGCGCTGCAAGAAGTTGCCGAAGTGATCCGTCACATGCAGGCCGTTGCTGCATCGAATGCGCATGGTGGAATTGTAGCCCGTCTCACGCAGCACCGCACGCTTAATTTGAGCGTCCAGCTTGACGCCATCTCTGACGGGATCGAAACGAGGGTGGAAGAAGAGCTCTCCTCCAGTTACTCCACTCAAAGTGCCGATGGTGGCCACATCGATGTACTGGCTGGGGAAGAAGAAGACATTGATACCGATTCCGGCTTCAACACACTCCTCAGCAACACCCCTATACCAGCCGTCTTGAGGAATGAACAGGTTCCTCTCCTTGTCCGTGCCATACAGCTTCGTATCTTCTCGATGTTTCAGGGCGCCAGGTCCCAGAGTGGGAATCGTAGACAGGAAAATGTTCGCTTGACCGCCGATCGTGCTCAGCGTGGCCTGCACGCCTCGAACAACAGCACCGAGAGCGGCTTCGGAAGCGGAATTTTCGGCGAACATCGTAGGCAAGCTGTCGAGCAGGCCTTCGATCTGCGACTTGGAGTCCCATGGATCTGCCAACAGACCTTCGCTGATTGGAACAAAGGGCTCGTCGATGTCTGCGACAACGAGCATCTGAGCTTGTTCCAAGCTCGGCAGCAAGTTGTAGAAATGCAAAGCCCTGTCGAAGGTCAAGATCACCACGCGACTACCGTGAGGCAATCCGAAGCCGGGAGCTTCCTCGTTTGCAGCTTCGCCGTTCGTGCCAGAAGTGCCCCTAGGTCCGTACAGGGTTTCCCTGATGCTCTCGATGCATTTTTGAAGGCTGCCACACCTGACGGCGGAAAAGGACACGTCAATCGCAAAGAAGTACGTCATGGGCCTAGGAGCGCGAACAGTCGTGCGTCCTTGGCCGATGGTCAGGGTGTTGCTCAGCGCCTCACTCGCAGCCTTCGTCGCAGCTTTGGCGGCTTGTCCACCTTGTCCACCAAGACCCATTGTTGAGCCCGCAAATGCTTCGCTAGGTGCGTTGTCCGGGCGAGGACTCAGCTTTGCAGTCTCAGTGAGCGACAGGGCAGGAGCAACGGGTAGCAAGACGCTAGCTGGTGGGCTTGCCTGCACGGCCCAATACTCTTTCGGCACTCTGAATTCCACCGTACCCCGGCTGAGTTCCGGCCTTTGCTCGAAATCTACTCGTCTGCCTCCCATGTCCAAGTTGCAGAAGTAGTCAGGCGCGACATCCGTGGCTGTTCCGCAAAGGTTACAGCACCACTTTTGACCTCCTTCAACGAAGATGGCCCAAGGGTTGATGTAGGCCCTGCACCGCTTGCATCGAGGAGGACCGCTTGGACCGCACTCAACGACAGGCACCGGCAGCTCATCGGGTCTCTGCTGAGCAAAGGGCTGGACTACAAGCGAGATGGGAAGCTGCGACATGGAAGCCAGCTCATCCGAGAATGGCAAGCTGTAAGTCGTGAGCCGCATGTGCTTGGGAGAGCAATTTCCCTGGTCCACTGCGCCAAAGTCTGTTGTGCTCAGTGGCAAACCTCCGCGTCCGCAAGTCGCAAACCATTCCTTGTCAAAAAATTCTTGATCTGCGTCTTGAGCTTCGACCGGTGCCGGTATCTGATCAGGATCAATCTTGCTGCGAGGTCCGGCAAAGCGCTGGCCCGCCTGGTGTGGAGGTTGGCTGATCCCACCTGGCTGACCAGCTTGCTGGTGAGCAAAGCCGGACTGCATGGGAGCACCCGGAGTGTGCGGTCCAGGAGGGCCAGGCGTTATGGGCATCGATTGCATGAAGGCTCCTCCAGCACCACCGGGCGCTTGCAACTGACCGCGTTGTCCTTGAGCTTGAGCCTGCATACTCGCCAGGCGCTGCTGATTTGCTGCCGCTTGTTCTGGGGATAACACATTACGCTGTCCAGGGTATTGATCCAGCGCTGCATCTGCGGCACCTTCCAATTGGGACTCGTATGCTGCAACGCGCGCTGCTGCTTCGGCTTGCCAGCTCGCTTGCTGGGGCTGACCATAGCCGTGAGGTCCCAGCCCGCCCTGTTGACCTGTGGGGGCCACTTCCTCCTGCTGATGGTACGCACGAGCACTCCGCTTATTCTTGGAGCTAGCAGCAGCTGCACCTTCTGCCGGTGGCGGCGACAACGCAGTAGCAGGAGCAGCGGCAGAGCCATCTTGCTGACCAAGGTTCATGTTTGACATTTGAGCGTGCAGACTTTGTGGGTTTCCCGGCCCTTGCTGAGGTTGCTGCTGTGGAAGTCCAGGTCTGCCCTGAAGGGCACCAGGCTGAAACGGTCGAGCGCCTTGAGGCATGGGAGGCATACCGGGTCGAGGACTTGCCCGGCCCTGCTCGCCAGGTGGGGCTGGCGTGAGACCTCCGTTGCGTGGAGGTACTTGCTGTTGCGGATATGCTGGCACGCCTCCCTGGCCTGGCGGGCTCATGACGCGCTGTTGAGGATTGGGCATGGGAGGCTGACCTGGCCTGCCTTGCTGTGGGAGTGGACCGGGTCCGGTGCTGCCTGGTCGGGCCAGTTGAGGAAGTTGTTGGCCGGGAGCCAGTCCGGGCCCAGATGGCCGGGCAAACTGTGAGCCTGGAGGGGGAGGCCGACCTGCACGAAGACCGCAGCGTGTCAGCTCGTCGAGATCGCCCTGCATTTGTCATCGAGGCTATACTAGCTCAAGAGCATCCAGCTGATCCCAATGAAGGCATTTTCGACCCACTAAAGGCCAAATGCTAGACACAGCCTTGAGAGGCTACACTTACCTGGAAAGCCATTCGTGCCTGGAGGAAATGGCGGCCGACCCAGCTGAGTACCAGGAGGCGCAGGCGGCCTGAATTGTCCATTCATACTACCCTGCTGAGGCTGCTGATATCCTCCCGGACCACCTGCGCCCTGTCCCTGCTGGGAAGCCATGATTGAGGAGGGTGTCGCTGGCTTCAAGGCGTCAGGTGCGGTTGGCGTCAAAGGCGGCGAGACCAGACGGGTTTTAGGGAAGGCAATGCAGAGGCCTTGGTGATTCCTTATGCCTTTTGAGCAGAGCACGAACGCGTCGCGAGCCAATTATACTGGCGTAGGTGGTGAAGGGGAGGGGAATGAGCCACTGGTAATGAGGAGACCCGGTGGGAGCGAAGTGGATAGTTTCCATTCGCACTATGCGTCCACCGACCGTCCTTGGCTGCGATAGAGCTGCGCTGGTGCTTCTCCACGGTGCAAGGCTCGCTGCGTACGGTAATAATAAGTGTGAATGCGCGCGCTTGGATCACATCGGCAAGCGCAGTCTGCTGAGTGTGAGTCTTCAGTCGTGGGCGAGCTGCTGCAGGTGACGCGACATGCTGATTGCTGTCGTGCTGGAGGGGGGTGGGGGGGGGCCTTGACAGAATAGTCTCGAATGATGGTGTCTCCACGCAAAGCGTCTATAAATCAAGCGCCGACCGCCGACGAGCCCTTGGCATGGACGCACGCGCAAAGCACCATTGTGATTCTAATCAAGAATCCAAATTTCACAACCGGAAGATTGACATGTATAATCTCAAGGTCATTCACGCATGGGCTGCTTCTCCTTGCTTGGACTGAGATTTGATTCACTCATTCGCACCACTGGTCCCTCCATCACTGACCGTCTGCTCACTTCTCAAACTGCCGCGAAGACTCACGACTATTCGTGTTCGTGCCCGCCCAAGGCCCTATCGAGTGGCGCAGCATCACTCCTCTTGAAGCGCGTGCATCGAGCGCTCATGAGCAGAGCTTCAGTTTTGCTACATCGCACTTGAATGCTTGTTCTGCCCTTTTGAAGTGAGAGCCACTCACCGATGGAACAAGACACTTTAGTCGACTCATTTCACCCACGATCGCTCGACAAGACCTCAATTTTCTGTAGCTAGGACCTGGGCGAGGTTATGAGCGGCGTAGGTGGGCACGGCGGGCGCGCTGCCTCTTCAGAGGCCTCCTATAACCTCAACGACCACTTTGGCGATCTGGACGTCTCGTCGGAGTATGGAGGAGCCGCTCCGTCAGACTACTCCGACTCCACCTCCACCACTGGAGGTCGACCGGCTTTTCGAAACTCGGAGTCGGTCGCAGATTCGGACTTTGACATTTCCAGCCTGAGCATCACCGATGCTGATCTTGATGGAAGTGGGCCTTTGAAGGCGAAAGATCCGCTCAAGGATGCAGGCTTCGCGCTGGATGCAGCAGACGACGATGATGGACAGCAAGAGGAGGAACTGCCTCCGCATGCTTGTGTGTACTGCGGCATACACAGCCCAAGCTCCGTCGTAAAATGTCTCGTATGCAACAAGTGGTAAGTGTGGCTCGCAGTCCATGAGTCGCGCAAAGCGCAAAGTCCAGAGGCTCAAACCCGCCCAGAGCCTTGTGCTGATCACGCCGCTTCACCAGGTTCTGCAACGCTCGAGGCATGACTTCATCATCCCACATCGTCACGCACCTCGTGCGTGCGAAGCACAAGGAAGTCTGCTTGCATGCTGAATCGCAACTGGGAGAGACTACGCCTGAATGCTACAATTGCGGAACCAAAAATGTCTTCTTGCTAGGCTTCATTCCGGCGAAAAGCGAGACTGTGGTCGTTCTCCTCTGCAGGTGAGCATGCGTCGCCTCATCTAGTTGTGGTGACCCGCGCTGACGCCACGCGAGGTGATGCAACAGACAACCATGCGCTGCCATGCCGGCGTCGAAGGACGTGGTGTGGGACGCAACGCAGTGGGCTCCTCTCATTGATGATCGTTCGTTTCTCAGCTGGCTCGTCAAGGTCCCATCGGAGGCCGAGCAGCTCAGAGCAAGACCTGTGACATTTAGACAGATGAACCGTCTGGAGGAACTCTGGAAGGAGAATGAGAGGGCAACAGTGGAAGACGTAGATCGACCAGGAGTTGACGAAGAGCCACCAGGCGTTTTGCTGAGATACGAAGATGCGTATCAGTATCAAAACATCTTTGGCCCTCTGGTCAAAATCGAGGCAGATTTCGATCGCAAGCTCAAGGAGAGTCAGACCCAAAACGACCTAGTCGTGCGTTGGGATCAAGGTCTTAACACGAAGAAGATTGCGTGGATGAATTTGCCTCGCTTGGAGAGCGGTGAGGTGAAACTCGCGGTGGGGGATGAGTTGAAACTTAGGTACGCCGGCGAGCTCGCAGCACACTGGGAGGGCGTCGGCCACGTCATCAAGGTACCAAACAGTGAGTCCTCTCGACACCATGAGCAATGCAGCGCAAAGATCGTTCCGGACTGACGTCAAATCTACTCCTCAATCTAGATCTCTCCGACGAAGTGGCCATTGAGCTGCGTCGTAACGACGGCGTTCCGGATTGGTGCACGCACAATTTCAGTGCCGATTTTGTCTGGAAGAGCACTAGCTTTGACCGCATGCAGACCGCGATGAAGACTTTTGCGGTCGACGAGCAGAGCGTTAGCGGTTACATCTACCACAAGCTGCTCGGACATGAGATTGAGCCTGTCACTCTCCGCACGACGATGCCTAAGCGGTTCAGTGCACCTGGTCTTCCCGAACTCAACCACAGCCAGGTTGGAGCAGTCAAGGCGGTCTTGCAGAAGCCTCTGAGTCTCATTCAAGGACCCCCAGGAACCGGAAAGACGGTTACCTCTGCTACCATCGTCTATCAGCTGAGCAAGATGAATCCTGGTCCAGTGCTCGTTTGTGCTCCCTCAAACGTAGCTGTCGATCAATTGACAGAGAAGATCCACGCCACGGGTCTCAAGGTCGTTCGGCTGACTGCCAAGAGTCGAGAAGCCATCGAGAGCCACATCAGCTTCTTGACACTGCACGAACAAGTGGCAAACAACGACACGCACACCGAGCTTCAGAAGCTGATCCAACTGAAGGGTGACCAAGGAGAGCTGAGCAGCAGCGACGAGCGCAAGTACAAGGCTCTCACGCGCGCTTGCGAGAAGGAGATCCTAAACACGGCCGACGTCATTTGCTGCACCTGTGTTGGTGTTGGCGATCCTCGCCTTAGCAAGCTCAAATTCAGGACTGTCCTCATCGACGAGGCTACTCAGGCTGCGGAGCCAGAGTGCATGATTCCCCTCGTCTTTGGTTGCAAGCAAGTCGTCTTTGTCGGTGATCATCTCCAGCTTGGCCCAGTGATCATGAACAAGAAGGCGGCACGAGCAGGTCTTTCTCAAAGTCTTTTCGAGCGTCTCATCGTTCTGGGCAATCGACCCATTCGTCTCGAGGTGCAGTACCGCATGCACCCGTGCTTGGCCGACTTTCCATCCAACATGTTCTACGAGGGCACCCTGCAGAATGGCGTCACTGCGCCCGAACGTCTGCGAAAACATGTCGACTTTCCCTGGCCCGTCCCTAGCCTGCCGATGTTCTTCTACCAAAATCTTGGCCAGGAAGAGATTTCGAGCAGTGGTACATCGTTCCTCAACCGTACGGAGGCATCCAACGTGGAAAAGATCATCACAGCTTTCTTCAAGGCTGGCGTCACTCCTGGTCAAATTGGTGTCGTCACGCCGTACGAAGGACAGCGCAGCTACATTGTCAACCACATGCAATTTCACGGCCGCCTGCGCAAAGACTTCTACAAGGAAGTCGAGGTCGCCAGCGTCGATGCTTTCCAAGGGCGAGAGAAAGATTACATCATTCTCAGCTGCGTCAGATCCAACGAGCACCAAGGCATTGGGTTCCTGAGCGATCCTCGCCGTCTCAACGTTGCCCTCACGCGTGCGCGTTACGGTCTTGTCATCCTGGGAAATCCCAAAGTTCTGAGCAAGCACCCGCTCTGGCACTATCTGCTCGTGCATTATAAGGAGAAGGCCACTCTGGTCGAAGGCGCACTGTCGAACTTGCATCCGTCTATGATTCAATTCAGCAAGCCGCGTCGCCCTCTGCAAAAACCAGGCGATCTTTCGGCACGTCATCATCTCGACGCGGACGGTGTTGTCGCTGGGCCAAACAGCTCCTATGGCGCTGCGAATAAGTCTGCAGGTCATGATGGAAATGGTGCGGGCTTGTCCACGCCTAGTGGACCGGATCCGAACTTCTTCAGGCATGATCGCGTCTCTTACATTCCCAGCGATGCACAAAGCATTGCAAGTCTGGGCACCCAAGCCACGTATCCCTCCTCGCGCCTGCCTCCATTCGCATCAGCAGCTAGCTCCATCAGCGGCAGCTCTCACCTGAACGGCGGGGGTCACGGAGGACTGGCGTCTAGCTACGCTAGCAGCATCATCAGTCAAGATGTAGATGCGGAGAGCATTGCAGGAAGCAGCGTCGCTCCTCCGCCCAGCATCACGTACAATCAGAACGATCGACTTCGTAGGCGACTCAGTATTACGAGTAGCCAGGGAGGGGCGAGCGACATTGCCGCATTGGACGGCTACAAGGGTCAAGCGCTCGTCGGCGATCGTGACGATGCGGACGATACTCTGAGCAACTACTCTGCTCCGATTTCTCAAGCAAGCTTTACGACTTTCTGATCTACAAGACCTATTCTCTGCTCTCGACCCGGTCAACGCCTACGAGTCCTCTATGCTGAACTCGATTTCGTCGGTCCCCGCAATGCCGCCCACGTGTCGCATCAACACCAAGATGCTCATCGCTAGATTGGGGGATATGCACGCAAAGCACGCGCACGACAGCGTCGTCGAGAGTCGACTCGAAGGCAAGAATGCCTGGCAACCCAGTCGCGCTCCCCATCGAGGCGTGTGGTATTGATCCGGCTCGTTCTTCGTGTAGCAAGTCGACTGGCTGCTTCACGAGCCGACTTGGGGCAACTGATCGAGCACGTAGAGCTGTGAAGGCCTGTGCGCAGGCTTGACACGTTGAAGCAGCAGGGCCACCTCGAGCCAGCTGTGCCTGCCCAGTCTCTGCTTGGGGCTCCCTCGCTCACTACACGCCGCGGCCCAATCACGCCACGTAGCATCTCGCCCTCACTCTCCTCTTTCTCTCTCTTTCTCTCTCCTTTCTCTCTTGAAATTCATGAGCTTTCATGTTGAAGCCTCGATTTGGATCTAGTGTACAATGCAAGGCTGGACATGGGACAAAGCGTAGAGCGGTGGGAATGAAGTGCTTGAGGGATGCTGTGGGGGCGGGCTTTTCCAACGAGGCTTGCATCGCCGCTATGCCCCTTATGCTGTGAGGGAAGCGCGAAGTTTGAGGCTGAGGTTGAAGAGCTGCAGTTCCTCATCACCTCCATCTATCAATGCCTTGTCTGCCTCTCCCAAGTCTATTGCGCATTTAGCCTTCGCTTTAGCCGTCAAGAGCGGATGGAGCATGATGTAATCGTGGAGCTGCGCGAGCGCATAGGCAAAGAACAAGGAAGGAGGCGTGAGTGAGCGAGTGAGTGAGTGAAAGTGCAACTTTGGCGCTCTGGTCGAGGCTCTCAAGAGGGAGGGTTGCGGGTTGCATATATGCAAACAAGATGTGCTTGGTGCTCACCTGTAGCAGCAATTGGGTGGTGGAAAAGCCCTCCATGGCTAAGCTCTTGACCTGCTTTTGCACAATCTCAAAAGGCGTCGTGGCAGGACCCGGAGCCAACATTTCCACATCCCCATCGTCCACATTGCCATCCCCATCAGGCGGAGGGTCGACACCGATGGACTTGCCTAGGGCGCGAATAGCCAAGGATGGCACCACTCCTGCGATCTCGACTATGGATTGCCGAGTGATGGGAGTGCTAGAAGCGCTTCCTGCTCCGTGCAAACGTGATGCGGACTGCAAGTACGTGATGGCTCGACGCAGATCGCCGTCGGATGTGTCGATGAGCGTGTCGAGCACCTGCACGATGACGACGAACGATGATAATGATGATGTTCCCCATTGTTTTGGTAAGTTCTCGTTCTGATCATTAGATCGTACCTCCGACGTGGAACTCACGCCATCCTCAAAAGACACCCTCTCAGCTTTCGCGATCTCTTCCAGCCTTTCCCGCGTGCTAGTTGTGTCCAGCATACGAAAGCGGAACTTGCTGCAGCGCGAAGCCAAAGGCTCGATGATTCTGCAAGTCCAGTGATGGTCGATCAACAATGTTCGGTCAGCAGGTCTTGCAGGAGTAGAAGCGGTCATGGTTAGCGCGCACAGCAAGACGCTCA